AGCTCGTCCCTCTCCTTAAGTCAAGAGCGTACTACTCTCTAAAGGATTTTTTTGAGGATAGTTTTCCTGAATTGTCTGGCTAAACCGCATATCCACATGCCAAAGTTATTGTAAATATATGTTTGTATCTACTCAAATTCAGTTTGTTATCATGTATTTTTGTATATATTGAAATTCTGACGCCATCAATCCCTTATTGGGTAAAAGATGAAGACATGGTAATAAGTTCCAGCCGTTCTAGTTGTCGTTGTCACTTCGCTTGTAAGTTCCGACTTCGGTCGGGTCGGTCCGAGTTCTTCGTTGTTTTGTTTTGATTGGATTGAAGTGATGTGGTGTGTCGTCTGTCCGTCTGTGTGTTCGTTCGTGTTCCATGTTCTTTTCGTTGTTGTTGGGTTGGGGTTTGTGAAGTGTGAACCGTAAAGCTTAAAGTATTATTGAATGAATTGGATACTATATTCTTCTGTTCATGTAATATTATATTACCTTACATAGGACTACACAACTTACTAATGTTTTGACGAAATACCGGTTTTTACAACGGCATGTTGATTTACTGTTTTTGTTTAAGGTTAGGCCTGACTTATCATAAAGTGTCTCAGGTTTTTATTTTTATTCAATGCAACTTTTCGTCTCTTTGTTATTAAAAAATAAGATAAAAGTTTTGCAATCAGTAAGCCAGGAAACAAACCAATTAATTGGTCTAGAATCACTAAGCCTACCTTCCTTCATAACCTCAAAAGGAAATGTTCAGAAATAAAGCAACTAGGCCTAGTAAAAGAAGCAGATGAGCTATTAGAAGACTTAGGCTAACTTGGAAAACAATACAATGCGTGGTTCACTATCGAGGGTTTTGTAACATAAGTAGGAAGGAAATCTAGGCCTATGGTTGTTGTACAGCCATGGAAGCATTGGAGGGATCCCGCTCTGGATCATTAGTTTATTTGTACCAGGGATTTCTTTATCTTCGCTACAAGACCTGGAAGGATGTAGTTTATTTACGGTGCCGAGAAATCCAATGTCCAGTTGTCGCTTCGATGAATCAGATTTCTGAAAAAGTTGTTATAAATGGTGAACACAGTCATTCAGCACCAGTCGAAGATGTTGAAGAGCTTCGGCTTAGGTCTGGGCTGCGAAAGGCCATACAGCAAGACAAGAAAAAATCTGTGAGGACTATCTTCGAAGAGGTGGCAAAAAGGTTCGAGTTCTGCTAATTTTTTATTACCCATAAGCTTAGACCTGATAATTTTGTTGCCAACTGTCCATTTTAAAATTTAAAATGGTGTTTTGTTGTATGAATTCTGAATTGGGCAGGCCTACAGTACATCAAACTTAAGTTACTGACACTTGTAAAAATGTCAACTTAATTGCAATCTGAGGTAGCCTAAGTTAATGAGGGAAAATAAAACCACTCAAAAATCTTTTTAGGATTTCACAGAAGATTTTAAAAAAATTTTAAATATACAAATTAGATAGCCTACAACAAAAAAAAAAACAGTAATTACAAGTAGGTATGAAAAAACGTCAAGGAAAGCTTTGTGCTTAAATTAGAGTAACTGTATCAGCTGTATTATTCTTAGTTATTATAAAACTTGTTAAAACCTGTTGTCCTACCAGCCGTCACACCCCTCTGTGTGAGGACTCTAGTGTTACCTGGTAGTGATGTGTTAATATCTCTAATTGCATTGTAAACGTTCACATAAATTTCTGCTCTCAGTTTGTTTTACATGATTAGGCCCCTACTTCTAATGAATGCTAAACGCTCTCCTTCAATTCAAATGAACATGTCTAAAATATGTTGCAACAAAGTTTTTTCCAGCATGGAGCACTGAAGACGTTGCCTCACTGATAATCTGTAGTAGTCAAATTAATTTAAGTTGGGCCAATATCTCTTTATATCTTTGATTTGAGACATCCCTCTAAACCATAGGATTTTCTCCACATGGGAATCCTGAAAAGTGTGGTGATATCGATCATTTAATGTGTAGGCCTAACATTTTTGAGGTAGCCAATAGGTCTAGAACAAATTCTTGGTTACCAACTGGTCACCACCATCTGCTGTGAATATATAGCAGCAACACCTTTGGAAATTAGTTAACTGTAACGTCTTTTAGGCCTAATGTGTTGTATGTCAGCCAGAGTATATGCCCAGTAGCCGCACATTCGCACATTGTTCAATAGAGTTTACCTCAACAATAGGCTATCTGTCACAACGTTTTGAAAGCTTATTTATATCTTATATCTTAGTGATTATTATTTGCCTCTCCTGAATAAAAAAATTAAGTTGACCGTAGCGACTGCAATTCCGTGGGTGTTATTCCAGTTCTGTAGTAATGAGCGTGGCCTTTGAATGCATACACAAAACCCTTAGGTATCTTGTTTTGGTCAAATATTGCGACTAACACTTACCATAAATGCTTTGTCAAAACTTCTTATTTTTCTATTTGAAATGTCTTGATTTTTTGTGACTTCTGGTCAAAAAACTTTGTACATAAGATTCCATGTGGAACTGGCAACGTAACCTTGCCGTTGTAATAGCAAGAAGTAAATAATACAGTTGCGTTTTTTCTCAATTGAAGTAGAGCGAGTAACAAAAATGTTAACAATAAAAACAAAAACATAAGTTCCACTAAGTTTTTGTTTAATTTTACTACTGGAGCTTGCCTATTATAGTTTCTACTAAAGGTTTTGAAATGTCTCAATCTGTCAGTGTTACTTTACCAAAGGAAGGTTTACTTTACCACCATGTGTATATTCTTCATGTATTGTTTCACATAGTAAGTTGGATAGCAGAACTGGCAAATATTATTTATCCCACCAAGTGATTGTGTATCTGGATTCCTGGCTGTTAGACCAGGCCTCTCTTATTCTACTCTCCTCATAGGCATACGATCTCTTATTAATTGTCTCCTCTTGTTTTCAATATTTCTTCTTTGAATTTGAGGCATTTTCTGTTCTTCTAACAAAATTTATTAACTGTTTACAGTGGTCTATAACCCGATAAGACTGCTAGCGGTTAGACTACAGAATACGCCGAATTACTGAGTGTTGATTGTTGAGGGACAATTGGACAAAAGAAATTGAATATATTATATTCTATTCAGTGTTTTTTATAACAATGTGTATTAACATTTTTCTAAATCTTGTAGGTTCCCGAAAGCTAAATTGGAGTTTTCTACAGTATACACACAATTATTAAGGAGCCGGAGACAACAACTATCGAGAAGAAGCCTTACAGAGGCCACAGATAGTGTGATGCATCAATCGATCGCTGAATATTCTCCAGAAGTATGGAGTAATTGAATGAAACTCATAGAACTTATTGCATTTCAAGACAATGTACTTAACAACCACAAATCCACAGCAACAACCATTTAATATCCACAGATTTTCAGGTTTAAGTTGATGTTGGCACGCTGTACACTGACCGTAATTAGTTACAGTATCAGCTGATGGTTTTTTTTTTCGGTATTTGAATTTGATTTGCGTCAAGAGAGTCTCGCGTCTTTCTGATTTTGCTTCTCAGTAGTTCTGTACCGAGGACATTGATTATGGGGGGGTGATTAGTTTGAACCTATAGTCGTAGAATTTAAATGTATAGTTAAGTGGTGTTGACTCATCCAGCTTATAGGTTCATTTTAGTATTATTTTCTGTAATCCTAAGTTTTTGTTATCGAACCTGCGCTATGTCCCATGTCGGATTATAGAGTTTCAATTGTTCTTCATAATCTGAAAATGGAGGTATGGTTAAGAGTATCGAACCAACTAATGTTAGATTTTTCATGGTTAGCCTATACCGCACTTGAGGGCCACTAAATCTTAAAGTTATTGAGTAGGCCTAGCACTTAGGCCTATGCTTTTAGAGAGTTTGGCTTTATAGGGTACTCAGTTATCAATTGCCTAGTTTTATTTTTCTTGTGAAGGATTCTTGTAAAATTAAAATTGTTAAATGCATTTTTTAAAGAGGCTACTTATTAAAACTGTATTCACTAACAGATCTTAAACATTTTTTGGTGATATATTAAGAGTGACTTGGGAATATTTAGTCGTGACTGATGAGGAGAGAGGTTCTACTAAATAAGCATTATTATTTGCCTTCTGTTGTAACTGGTGTTAAGCATAAATCCATCTTATAAAGAGTGGAATTTATTTTACATTAATTAAACCGGATTTTGCATTGACGGTACAGTATGAAATTGTTGAATGTCATAATGTATTTTGTTCACAATTTATCTTATATTGTAAGTAAGGTTGTGATGGGGGTTTTGTATAATTTGCCTTTCAGAAAGAATTGGTATTGTTTGTGTTAAAAAACCAATAAATTCATGTGAATAAGTTTCAAGTGAAAACTTGATTAGTGCTGGCTTATTTTATATCCCTGATTTAGTTTGTCCGTTCATTATTAGGAAGTCAAATCTGCACTCACTTAACCAATAATATTCCCAATAATTCCCAAATTAGAATGCAGGCGTTTAAACCACGTGAGGTAAACTTTTGGCTATCCATTTTATTTTTCATTAACTGTTACTTTAAAGAAATGTTTCTGAATACAGTAGAGTCCCGTAAACTCGACACTCGATAACCCAGCAGTCTGGATAATTCAGCCATCACCTGGCTCAGAAAATTAGTGATTTTTGGAGTCCAAGTTAAACATGGACTCAAGCCAGCTCAAGTCAAATCATTCGCAACTCGTACCAAGGATTTGGTGTACTATATCTGATGACTTAATACTGACTTGTAATAAAAATATAAATAAAAAAGGCGGTTAAAAAGTTTAAAAATTTTATTGTTATTATTTTTAACCCTAGTTCCTGATAACCCAGCATTTCACAAACTCGGCACCCTTCCAGTCCACATTACGCCGAGTTTGCAGGACTCTACTGTATTTCATTTATACAAATTCACAAGTTATTCTTGTGCGGAAATGCAAATCCACATTTGATTAATCTGTTGCAAAATAGAATCACCAGTGCTGTGTTGTAAGACATATGTGAATGCTGCAGGTGGAGACTCAGAACCCTGGCGCAGATGGAGGTCCAAGCACATCAGCGAGTGTTCCACAGTTTCCAATACCAGACTTTTCTGCTTCATCCACCATTTCGGATTTGAATTTGTCTGAACCATCCACTTCTGCTGACAACAGCCAGTCCACGCCTCTAGAACCGTCCGCTTCCGTCAGTGGCACGGGTTACACTCCATCAGAGAGCCCACCCATCCAAGTACCAGAGTTGTATGAAAGCCGCATGTACATTTCACCAACCCCGATGTTATTCGAAGAAGACATGCCCGCTAGTCAGGACGCAGATGGTGAAAGCGGACCAACACAAACCACCAGTGTAGCTGATGCGACACCTGAACCGACTGAAAGTACAAGCACTGTAAAAGTAAAGCCGATCGAAACTTTGCAATCAAAAGACATGTTTGGAAGGGAGAGTGAACAGGCTACAGAAAACGAGACTGCTAAAGTAGATATTAGTGTGAAATCACTGGAGTCCGCTATTAAGCGGTTGGAATCGGTTTCAAATAAATTAGCTGCCACTTCAAATTTTGATAGTTACGATCAATTTGGTAAATATATTTCTTCAGTTCTGAGAGGATTGCCTAAGAAGAAAGTGGTTTCTCTGAAGCAAAAGATCATCACGGAGGTAATGCAAGCTTTATCACAAGAGGAAGGAAGCGGAGCTAAAAACACTCAAACTTCAAAAAATCGTGCAGACACTGATTCTATCTCTAAGAATTGTGCCAATAATACACCAGTCATTACTCTTCCTACCGTATCACAACCAACATTTGGTGGACCAGTAATGTATGCCCAGTTGTTACCTCAAGTTTTTGAACCTCAAGTGCCATTTTCCACCAACGTGGCAAATCCTTCGATTGTGAATGTAATGACTGCCAATACTTTCAAACCTCCTGATATTGCCACCATCCAACCAAGTCCTATGTAAGTATACTTTGTTTAGTTCAGTGCATTTAAGTTAGTTCTCTCACAAGTACAGACTCCTCTATTTTCACGCCACGCTGTAGATAAAATATTTGATTGGAATATCCCATTTATTTTGTTTTGATTTTCTGTTAAAATTTTGTTGTTATTTCTTCATCAGCATGACAACCCATAGGGCCCATGTTATTTTTTTTATTTTAATTAATTTTTTGCTTATTTTTTAGTCTATTTTAATTTATAAAGGGATTCTGCACATCTACATTTTTTAGCCTATTTTAATTTATAAAGGGATTCTGCACATCTACAGGAAAATATCTTTACCAGTATGCATAGATTTTCCCTGCGATGCACACGAGCAGAGAAAAAATTATTTTATAAAGTAAATCATTGTGTTCAAAATGAGTGCAAAACAATAGAGTATATTTTGATCATACTCTTTCAAGTTTATTTTTTATGTTAATTTTATTAATTTAATAATTATTTTCCCCTCAGAATCAGTGAATCTCTTGGAGGTCAAACTCCATTCTCCACAAGTCAGAGAAGTCGAGGAAGGCCTAGAAAACGCAGTGGACCACCAGAAACTTACACAAACAAAAAGTAAGTTAAAAGCACAGTATAATAGAATTGTAGCGGCAACTGTTAAATTACCCGTATAGAAAACCAGGTAGAGCCAATTTTTAAAATTGCATGACTATTGCAGCGTTATGAAAAATCTGCCAATCATGTGTTGTGAATAACCTACAACCAATCATCCATGGGTCCAATCATCCATAAACATCTGGTTGCCTGACGCTTATGTTGTGCATCCTTTTTTATGAAATGTTGTACAGCAAATAAATATGCTTTTAACAACCAGTTTTGCGCGTAACCAGTTGTGAAGACTTGCTACCAACGAAATGTATGATTTTATTTATTCACATGAACATAAAAATAAATAGTGACATCTTGCTTTAAAACAAAAGTTACCCCCCCCCCCCCAAAGTTATGAAATAGGCTCCTATTTCAGTAGTATCGGACTTAAGGGCTGACTATTAACTGTTTTTGTAGAATGGCTCCTGATGATAGAACGGCTCTTACAATGGCTTCTGAGATGAAGACGACAAGTGTGAATCCTGATTTTACAATGGCTCCTGAGATGAATACGACGAGTGTAAATTCCGCAGATGAGTTGAACATGTACCAATTATCATCTGGCTCACAGCAAGAGTAAGTTCTGGAATAATCTGTTTAAAAATACTTGCAAATATAAATTGTTTTCATCTGTCACCTTGGGTATTGGCCTCAAAACTAAAACCAATATTTTTTTTTATTTTGTGTGATAGTTAATCAACTTACCTTATAACAATACTTTTCCTTATGATAATCGATTTTCGATTCCTCAAAACGATCGATACAACTAATTCTTGAACACTGTGACTTAGGATTCAGTTATTAATTCAGAATCTGTTATGATTAAAGCAAAATTTTAACCATTTACTTTGATTTGCAATGACAAGAATTTTATATTGTGTAAGATTTCCATTTGACACTCCAATCATCATCGATTAGAGTGTCCAATCGAAATCGATCATCACTTACCATCTTTTATGTATATAAAAGCCTTGTGAGTAACAGTATAAGCGTAAATATACATTTTAAGTGTTGAAAGACGTTTCTTTTACTTACCTACCGTAAATTTAATAACATCTACAATGCTGATCAATAAGTTTTGCATTAAATTATCTTGATTTTATAGGTCACACTCACAGGATCGGTTACAGGAAAGCCCTCAAGTCGGGGAAATGGAAGGAACTACAAACGTGGAAAACTTGTAAGTGCTATTTATTTTATAGAGGATGTTATCTTGTGGATAGTGGTGATGTACAATAATTAATAAAATAATATAATCAACATTTTAGAGGATTTATTGTATGGACATAAAGTACAACATCAAAAGAAAGAAAAAGGTAAACAAGAAAGTAAATATTTAGTTAACAGTAATTACTAACATGTTGTAAATTAAAATCAATTGAATACTGACAGATGGTTAGGTACAGCCACAATCTAAAGCTGGTTTCACGCGATGCCAGTAGATAAGACAATTGTCAGATGATAACTGACTGAAATTATTGGCTTATTTTAAAATCTCCAAGCCAATTGCCCTGCCAACTGCTCTCACAATTGCCCTTAAGTCTCACCAATAAGCATTGTGTAAACCGGCTTTAGCAAAAGTGATAGATGGTGTTATATCTCCTAGTCTGTTGATATGATGAATATTTACTTTTGACTAATTTAAATTGTCATATGTTTTTGTTTTGTCTTGTTGTCATAATAGTTTTATATGAGTTGTTGAAAATAGAAGTGTGGTTTTAAAAAGTCTAGTTTTTTTCTAATTTTATCTTTATAGTTTTCATCACTTTAAGAAGGTAGGTGTGTAGTGTAAAACAACATTTGGCGACCGTGACAGGACTTGTTTTTCACCTATCTCTATGATGAAAAATCTAAAGAAAAATAGAACAGTATATAGGGCTTATTTTTCTAAAACATTGAACAAACTAAACAGTTTAGTTGAAAATGAAACCACAGACAAAATTGAAATTCAAACCACTCTAAAGCTTTTGGAGATAAAGGTTGATGAACTCCAGGTTTTGAATTCTCAGATCTTTGATTTGTTATTGAATAATGATAATGTTTCTGAAGATAAGCTGTTAGCTGAAACAATCTTAGCTGGAGAATATTTAGCTTTGTTTGAAGCTGTAAAATTAAGAGTCCAGAATTTACTACAACAAAGTAACGATGTAGTTAGTGCTCATTCTGGATCTTGCTGTAACAATGCTAGTAAGAAGAAATTTAAGCTCCCTAAAATTGAGATCAAAAAGTTTGATGGAGAATTGATCAATTGGCTACCTTTCTGGAGTCAGTTTAGCAAAATTCATAGTGACTCAGACATTGATTCAGAAGATAAGTTTCAATATTTATTGCAATCCATAGTTACCGGATCAAGAGCTTTTGATGTAGTTCAGAGTTTTCCTCCAACTGGTGCAAACTATCCAAAAGCAATTGAATGTTTGAAAGCCAGATTTGGTAAAGATGACCTATTGGTAGAGGTTTATGTCAGGGAACTCTTGAAAATTGTTTTACAAAATGCTCTAGGAGGCAAGAACACAATGAACTTACAAAGTTTATATGACAAACTTGAGTCTCATATGCGTGCATTAGATACCTTGGGAGTTACGACAGATAAATGTTCCTCCATGTTATACCCGTTAGTTGAAAGTTGTATGCCTGAAGATCTCTTAAGGGCGTGGCAAAGAAGCCCTTTGAAAGTAGGTACAGACCCTCAGGAAAGACTCAACAATTTAATGAAGTTTATGTTGTCTGAAGTTGAAGGGGAACAGAGAATCGGTCTAGCCATGGCAGGTTTTGGGATAAGTAGCTCTGGGAAGGAGAAATCTTTTAAAAGGTCACCTCAAACTCAACCAGGTAAGATAGACATACCAACAGCTTCATGCCTCATGTCCTCTGGTAAAACTCAAAACTCTTATACAAAGTGTGTCTTTTGTGATAAGAATCATAAGAGTAGTAACTGTTTTGCTGCTCAGAAATTGCCATTGTCTCATAAGGTGTCCACTTTAAAGGAAAAGAGGTGCTGTTTCCTTTGCTTGCAGCCTGGTCACCGTATTAAGAATTGTAGAGCTCATTTGTCATGTTCTAATTGTAAAAGGAAACATTATCCTATAATGTGTCCTAGTATTCATTCCAAAGAAGTAGTGAATGAGTGTGTAAGCAAATGTGTTGATGAGGTATCTAAAGAAATGACAGTAGTGGAAGATACCGCTTTGGCCAATAAATCAAGTAGCAAAGTGAAAGTGTTTCTGCAAACAGTTAAGGCAAGATTAAGAACCCCAGGTAGTAATCAATTTGAGACTGTTCGCATTCTTTTTGATTCTGGTTCGCAGCGTTCTTACATTTTAAAGGACTTAGCTGAAAAAATGAATTACAAAAGCTTAGGAGAAGAAACAATCATACACTCTCTTTTTGGTAATGTCAAATCTGGTGAAGTAATTCATAACAGACATCGTGTGTTTCTAACCAGTCAAGATTACAGTTACAACTGCAACTTTGAGGTATTGAGTCAAACTACCATATGTGGGGAAATTTCACCTGTTACCGAAGGTCCCTGGATACAGGAACTTTTAGAGAAAAATGTTTCTCTGACTGACATACATGAGACCGAGCTACCAATTGGTATTTTGATTGGAGCGGATATAGCGGGTAAACTATTCACTGGAAATATGATTCAACTGAAATCTGGACTAGTGGCTATGGAAACTCTTCTGGGATGGACACTGATGGGTAAGGCTATAATTAGTTGTAGTACAGGTTCAACTACACTCTCCACTGTTGTAACATCAATGTTTATTAATGATGCTGACATATCGGAACTGTGGAGATTAGACACTATAGGCATTACTGATACAAGTGAATCAGTTTCCAAAGAGCAAAAGGCTTTGGCAGTTAAAAAGCATTTTATAAAAACTACCACTATAAATGAAGAAGGTCGATATGAAGTAAGTTTGCCCTGGGTTGATTGTCATCCTCCTTTACCTAGTAACAGAGAGTTAGCCGAAAAGAGGTTATCAACAGTTGTAAAGAAATTGGATGGTAACAATTTAACCGAAGACTATGACTCAGTTTTTAAACAGTGGTTAAGTGATGGCATCATTGAAGCTGTACCTTCTGACGATTTGAACAACAACTTTCACTACCTGCCACATAGACCTGTAGTGAAGGAGAGTAGTATTACCACACGAATTCGTCCAGTGTTTGATGCATCAGCAAAGACCAAGTTTTCACCCTCATTGAACGACTGTATTGAAAATGGACCAAATTTAATTGAACTGATTCCTTCTGTTATGATGCGTTTTAGGGAAGGGAAGTTTGGAGTTATTGCTGATATAGCAAAAGCCTTCTTACAGATATCGTTAAATGTACAAGATAGAGATTTTCTTCGGTTTTTATGGTTTGACATCAATGAAAGAAGCCGAAGTATTGTTTACCGCCATAAAAGAGTTGTTTTTGGAGTGAAATGTAGTCCATTTCTTCTAGGGGCAGTAATTGATCTGCATCTTCAAAAATCTATGACTTCTCAGGAGTTTGATGATAATGTGGTAAAGAAGCTGAGTAAAAGTTTTTACGTGGACAATGTTTCGACCAGTGTAGATACTTATGAGGAACTAAAACACTTTGTTGAAGAATCGAAACAAGTTATGGCTGCCGCTAAGTTTGATTTAAGAGGATGGCATGCCACGAGCGTAATTGAAGAAGGAGATACCAAGTTCGTCACTAATGTTTTGGGAGTTCAATGGAACTATATTGAGGACGTTCTGTTTTTTAACCTGACGAACTGTATTAAAGATTTGGACGTGTCTCGAATCACAAAGAGAGACATTTTATCCATATCTCACAAGATCTTTGATCCAATTGGTATCCTTTGCCCTGTTACTTTGTTTCCTAAACTTCTTCTGCAAAGTATGTGGGACTTGAAAATTGACTGGGACACTGAAGTAAGTTCAGACATCAGTAAACGATTCATGCTGTGGTATAATGAGTTAAGCGCTCTTGAAAAAGTGAAAATACCCCGATGGATAGGTAAAATGACTATGGATTCAAATGGTTGTAGTATTCATACATTTTGCGACGCAAGTAAAGATGCCTATGCTACAGTTATTTACTTGAGAGTTGAAATTGAAAATGAAGTAAGAGTCCAATTATTGTCTGCAAAATCAAGAGTTGCTCCTCTGAAGAAAACCACAATTCCAAGATTGGAATTATTAGCCGCCACGGTGGGAGCACGTCTCACAAGTACCATATTACAATCAATGGATTGGAAAGATATGGACATATATTACTGGACAGATTCAAGTACGACATTGGCTTGGATTCAACAAGACAACAACTGGAATGTTTTTGTATGGAATAGAGTGTCTGAGATAAGAAAGCTTACTGACATAAACCAGTGGAATCATGTACCTGGAGATAAAAATCCTGCAGATCTTCCATCCAGAGGCTGTAGCGCGAGAATATTGTCAGAATCTCGCTGGTGGGAGGGACCTGACTGGTTGAGATTGCCCAAGAACGAATGGCCTGTCAGTAAAAACATCCAGTACGAAAATGAAGAAATAAATTTAGAAAGGAAAAAATCCAAAACTGGAACTGAGATAAGTCTAATAAGTAACGATACAGTTTGTGATTGGTGTGGAACACTTTTAAAGACCCAACCTTCAAATAAGTGTTGCCTGAATTTCGGAACAAAATGGTATTCACGTTATTTCTCCAGCTATCCAAAAATGATTCGTTTGGTTGCTTGGATAAGAAGATTTATTAAAAATTGCCAATTGAAGAAAGAACTTAGATCATTAGGAGAACTTACTGTGCAGGAGTTGGAAAACGCTGAGTTAAAACTTTTAAAAACTGTACAAAGTGAAATGTTTGAGGATGGTATAAAGAACAAAGCTCTCTCCGTGTTAGATCCTTTGGTTGATGATAATGGATTAATACGGTTGAAAACCAAGGTGAGTGACAAAGAAGATAGTTTTGGTTTTAAATTCCCAATTGTTTTAACCCAAAGACATCCAGTTGTAGAAGCTATAATAATGGAGTATCACAAAAGTAATTGTCATGCAGGAGTTCAAATATTGTTGAGCAATATTAGAGAGAAGTTCTGGATACTTGGAGGTAGGAGATCCATTAGATCAGTTATCAACAAATGTGTTGTATGCAAGAGAAACAGAGGTAAAAGCTTTGAGGCGATTCCCGCAGTGCTTCCTACTGATCGTGTGCGTGAATCAACAGTTTTTGAGGTAACAGGTGTGGATTTTGCAGGGCCTTTATACCTGAGAAATAATGAAAAGGCCTGGATATGTTTGTTTACTTGTGCCAATTATAGAGCAGTACACCTTGAACTTGTAACTTCTCTTTCAACACAAGCTTTTCTTCAAGCATTCAGGCGATTTGTAGCTAGACGAGGAAGACCCAAAACTGTATACTCTGACAATGCTACTAATTTTACAGGAACAAATAATCTTTTGAAGAAAATAAATTGGAAGGACATTGAAAAGTATAGTTCTGCTCAAAGAATTATTTGGAAATTTAATCCCCCAACAGCAGCTTGGTGGGGTGGTTGGTGGGAACGTTTAATAAGAATAGTAAAAGATCTTCTTAAAAGAGTGCTTGGAAGGGCCTGTCTCGATTATCAAGAAATGTCTACTGTGCTTTGTGACTGTGAAGCAGTAATAAATTCGAGACCTCTCACATATGTATATGATGGAACTTCTGCATTGTCACCACTTACACCAAATCACTTTCTTCAAGAAACTAGGGAAAGTGGTATGCCGGACTTTGACCAAATCGATGAACGAAGCTTGAACAGAAAATTAAAACATATCCAAAACCTGAGACAAAATCTAAGACAACGTTTTAGAAAAGAATATTTGGGACAGTTGGTTCAAAAATCAAACGTAAAAGGTTCTAAAAATGTACCCTCAATAGGAGATGTTGTTTTTATTGAATGCGAAAACATGAAAAGAATAGATTGGCCTCTAGGTCTTGTCATTGAAACAATACCAGGCAAGAGTGGTGTGGTCAGACTTGTAAAACTTCGTACAGCACATGGGACATTGTTGAGACCGATACAAAGATTGTATCCGCTTGAAATCTCATCAAAAGATATGAACGTGGGAAAAGAAGTTAATACTACTCAAGATGAAATTAAAACACAAGCTGGACGAAAAATCAAAGTTCCAAAAAGGTTCATGTTTGAGTAGTAATACTACTCGGTGGGAGGATGTTATATCTCCTAGTCTGTTGATATGATGAATATTTACTTTTGACTAATTTAAATTGTCATATGTTTTTGTTTTGTCTTGTTGTCATAATAGTTTTATATGAGTTGTTGAAAATAGAAGTGTGGTTTTAAAAAGTCTAGTTTTTTTCTAATTTTATCTTTATAGTTTTCATCACTTTAAGAAGGTAGGTGTGTAGTGTAAAACAACAGATGGGATTGGCGCACAATTTATTGTGCTACATAAGCTAGATGAAGAAAAACTGGGAAAAATAATAAAATATCAAATTGAACTTTTGCTACATGCCGCATGCCTCGGTCACGTATCACTAAAGCTGCCATGTCTCAGTTAATATTCGTCCAATGCCTATCTTAATTTTTTTTATGTTTGTAAAATCAACGGTTTTTGAGTTATTTAAGAACCAAACTTTAAATGGCTGCCATTTTGTTTTATGGATTTGGAAAATTGTCATAATTTTTTTCAGAACCACTTTTCAGAAAAAAACTAATAAGTGAAAAATATGGCGGCTTTGTGAGTAACTAACAACTTCCGGACAATTTAAATATGATTTTTAGATATGTTTCTTACCCAGGAACAATACCCAAAAAAATTGGTAGAGAGTTCTTGGACTTCCTGTATAAACTATGTTTTGTGTGAAAGAAGACAATACATTTTAATCTCTGGTACTTTTGTCACAATTTGAATGTCCTAAAGTTCTAATATTAGTAACGTTACAATTATTTTTTTCCAGGAATAGCAGTCAACTGGAGTATGAAATAGATATTGAGGTAAGAAGTTGTTAAGTGTTGTGGTTTCCAACAAGTGGTATTAATAATGCTAAAATACATGAAAACGCCATGAGGTTACTCCTCCATGAGCTTTTGACGATGTCACAGAAAATTAGGTAGCCTAAAAGTTCTTCTCTTTACTAATGGACATAAGATTAATATCTTGAGAAATTTTAATGCTCTATATCACAAAATATTTAAATGTCAACCACAGCCGTGAAGTTCCCAAAGAGTTGATTATGGGTATATTGTTGTTTTTATTTTTGAAAAAAAAAAATTGCAGATGACACATAGTATTTCTGGTTCAATATAAAATATCTGGGGGGAGCGAGCTGGTCTAGTGGTTAGAGCGTGGGACTTCGGTCCCTGGGGTCTCGGGTTAAAATCTCGTTAGTACATTATTTTATGTACAATAAAATCAGTTGAACACTATTTTGGGTCATCTTTTGGACCAAGCAAATATTTTATTACTTTTAACTAGTGTGGATAATAGCTTTAAATTTTACCTTAGGGCTATCGTGCATCAAAGATCTATAAAGCTATTTTAGTTTAATAGTCCAATATCAAATATAGACCACTAAAGAAATATGTGTGTCATATATTTGCGAGGCATTTTTTGCAAAATGCAAACTTGATCTACAAACAAACTTCTGTTCGTAATATAAAGGTTTCAACTGACATCAAGATGAAGATCCCTTTACAAAAACGGGCTTGTTACCAAGTTTCACTTGTATTATTTTAGTTAATTTGACGGATGGATCTTTTTTTACAGGAAGGAAATGAGCTGGCCAAAATCAAACTAGACAGTAATGACTCATTTGAAACAGTCTTATGTGAGGGAAGTTCTGGATTGTATATAAAGGTCAGTCTTCATTTATTGTTGTTGTGTTGTCTTCATTATTGTTGTCTGGATTGTCTATTTGAATCCCTTTGTGGTTGTTTCAGTTATTCAGTAGGCTCCTACTTATGCAAACTGTTACAAAGGGGGGATCATTATTCAATTTTATGCAACCATACAAGGACTCTAGAATTCCTACAAAGATTTAAAATTATTTAACAGCCTAGGAATGGCTGCAAAATTGCACCTCACATCTTTCTTGCTGGATAATGTGCTAGAGCGGTTAGTCAAGTCACCAACAACCATATATATATATATATATATATATATATATATGATGAAATATATTATATATATGATAATGCCCATATATATATATGATGAATGATATTTATCTTTCATTAAAAACTTTGACGAGGTGTAATTTTCAAGTACCGGAGTAGCAATTTTGCATTTTACTTATCCTCTATGAGGTGTTCTAGTATAAAAGGTTTCATCCAAATTTGACATGGGCAGGTAAAATTTTGACATGTAACCTAAACCTGTATTAGGACGATTTTGATAATCTTTTGAAAAATTAACAAATAATTTTGAAATTGGTTGATATGTCGAGTTGATTTTTTTTTCTTGGTCTGAGGGGTGCACAAGTATATCCAATTTGTTCTTACCATCAGCGCAATCAGGGGCGATACTGCACTACGGCCGTTTCGGAGATAACTCCATCTTCAGGTGGGTAGTGAGTGGTACACTAGTCCTGATGTTACACTTAACACGTTAAGTCTTCATTTGCATTGCGTCAGGGATTAAATAAATATTAAACATACACAAACAGGATGGCCACACGATAATACACAAAAACATTTGCACATGCAAGGCTTAAAAACTGACCACGTGATAGTCAATACAAGACTATATTTTAGTGTACCACTACACACTTGGAGGTTGAGTTATCTTCAAAACGGCCGTAGTGCAGTATCGTATTATATTTTCACACAATCTAAGCTATGAGATGTTAAGGTAAAATTATTTAAACTGTGTTGCTTTGATATATAACGTTTTTGCTTGTAGGAGGAGCCCCCAGAACCCGACAGCCTAACTACTAGTCAAGCTGTCACCTCCCCCGTCAATTGTCACTTGTGTAGTGAAAGACTCATGAGCAGAGAACATCTCCAAGAACACTTCTGTTCAGCTCATTCAGGTAACAATATACAATGCATCTTTAGGGTCGACTTTATTTTAGGGGTCTGCGGGTCAGACTTTTTTGGCTCGGGTCGGGCCGATAATTTTGGTCCTCGGGTTTCGGGCCAAAATCGGGTCGGGCCAAAAATTATTAATTACCGAATTTTTTATATTTTTTTAACTCCTATCTGTGTTTTTAATATTACTTGAAAATAACATATGGGAAAAAATGTATTTATGTATATTATTTCATGTTCATCACTTATTTACAGCTTAGAAGTTGCCTCAACTGCAAGAAAGAAGAAAATAATTTTTTTTTATCAAGCCATTCTTTCCCATTTTCATAACTGTTGAAATATCTAAACAGCTATATTACAACAAGTTTGTAATGGAACTTGATATAAAAGGATCATAAACAAATCAATTAACCTTATCACAAGTTTAGGGCCTGTGGACTGGCTTCAAGACTGCAAGCAAGAAGAAAATAAAAATTCTATGTTTCCACCATGCAATATGAATCATTCATTCCCTGCCTCCTAACCTCCTAAGTACAAAAACCTCACACTTACAATAGCATTATTAGTTACATCATCATAAATAAAGAATTATCTATTATTGGCATTAGTAGGCCTACAGCTTTACATAGGAATTATTTTTTTTAGGGCCTAAAATAGTAATAGACTAAGCAACATGACAAGTGGAGAACTCATTGAAGAAAAGATATTGTGTAAACTAATTTACTATAAAACTCTAAAACAGTAAAAATAGCACACATACATTGTTTATGGTATAGTTATAGTAAAGACTGTAAAAATTGCATATCATGTCATAGGTACACAGTTATAGATACACAGTTATAGGCACAGTTATAGGTATTGCAAGAGATCCTAAAACAACTGATTTTAGCTAATAAATGAAAAGAATTAAAAATCCATAAACTCAAGTCAAACAATATCACAATTATTAGGTACCCAAAAAGGAACTCTTAATATATAGAAAATTATATTAAATCAAGAGAAAAGAAAGTTAAATGCTAATTTGGCAACATAAGCAGACAGCAGAGACATTATAGTGCCCTAATTAGCAACACAACTCAATGTTTTTATACTGTAAGTCAATGTTTTTGAAACAGTAGGGTCTTTTTCTCGGAAGGAAGGGTAGTAGAATGTAAACAAAAAACCATGAATCACTCTCACAGCCGGGGCCGGGGACACTCAAGGTTACAGACCCTCCCCCTCCCCCTCCCCCTCCCCTCCCCTCCCCTCTTACACAACCAGAGCCAGGCCCGGGGACACTCAAGGTCATAGACCCTCCCCCTCCCCCACCCCTATTACACCACCTGGTTGTTCCAATTGCTGACAAAATGCAAGTAACGAAACAAGGAAGTAGAGACAAAAAGATATATTTTCTTTATTCAAAAATATAAAACTGTTACAGATAATTTATAAAGAAATTAATTCATGGTAGTTTGTGTCTTGTAAATATTGTATTGGATCTTAGAAATATCTTTTTTGAAACTCTATCTAACCTAAGAAACAAATAATTTTACTGATGAAAACTTTCTTAAAATAAAATTATAAAATATTTAGGCCTAACCTCTTTGTAGACTTGCTGATACTTGATACTTAAAAAAAATGAAATAGTGACCATACAATGCCTCCAGACGATCAGAAGTGTTGTTTTGTTTTGTTACTGAATGACAAAAAGGACAATAGGAAAATAAAAGAACAAGATACAGATCTGTACACTATATCAGATATTTCTTTTGTTTATAATTTATTATGTAAATAAAATACTACTATATTTTAAACTAGGTATGGAATAAACAACAAATAATTAAAATGGGACCTCTGGATAAATAGTCTTTCTTTTGACTTTGTTTTCTTTGCACTGTTGAGTCACGCACGGCTTTTGTTTTGTCAGTAGACGACTGGCTCTGGCTAGTGACAGTAAGGCAATTGCTCTGTTGTGTCTTTGTTCTTAAATGTGAGCAAACTTAATATTTAATTCTAATTTTAACATTTTAATTCCTCTGTAATAATATATATAAGAGTGTTTCTTTGAAAATTACTTATTATAACTTTGAAAATAATAATAATTCTTTGAAGTGGGATGAGCATGTAAATTTTTTATCAAAAATTCTCCATAAAGGTCATTTTCTAATTCTAAACTTATCAAAAATCCTGGAGATAAACATTTTGAAAATGGTTTACTATGCATATATCTATTCAAACTTAACATATGGAGTGATATTTTGGGGCAACTCACAGTCTTCTCCAGCAATATTTAAGATTCAGAAAAGCATTGTCCGTGCTATGACAAATTCCCCCTATACTGCATCATCCAAACCAATTTTCAGGAAACTAGATATTCTGCCTTTACCTTGCATTTTCATTCTACATACCCTTCTATTTGTTAAAGAAAATTTTCACAAATTCACTCTTTTAAAATCTACACATAACTATCCTACACGTAATTGTAATCTTTCTTTGCCGATACATCGAACAGCAGCTTTTGAAAAGACACCATTCTATACAGGCAGCCGATTATTTAATAAACTACCTTCTCATATTCGCAATGAATCTTCTGCCAAAGCATTTAAAAGAAAACTTGTTAACTATCTAAAGAGCCATATGTTTTATTCAGTAGAGGATTTCATTTTATATAGTAATAGTGGTTTGTAAAATGGTTCATGTGGAGAGTTTGTTTTCTCATTATGTTTAAGTTACATTAATTTAGTTTTTAACATTTTTGTATCATATTTTTGACATGTCATCTACCATTGAGGAAACTCCTCTGTATATGGTGTAATTTGTGACAATTTACATGAATAAATGAATAAATGAATAAATGAATTTTTTTTGGCCCGACCCGATCTTGGCCCGAACAAATCTCTGACCCGACCCGGTCTCTCGGGCCTTCCGCTGGCCCGACCCGACCCGAAAAAATCGGGGACCCGCAGACCCCTACTTTATTTCCCAATGTCGATACCAGCTATACCTTCCCAACCGATGCCAACTGAAGTACCTTGTATGTTCCTCAAAAGGGCTCAGAAGAGAAGTGAGGATCCAATGCAGCCAGTGTGTGGTGCCACTTTAAATTGACGTCTGCTTTGAGGCATACCACTGAGGGACAAGTGTAAATAGTGTATATAAATCATAAATAAATCATAAATCTTTATTGGTCATTAAATAACATATGTTACAATAGACCTCGTTAACAAAAAAAGGGTCATAGATTCTAGATAGTATAACATGGTCTATAACATGGAATCTTCACTAAACTTAAATATAACAAAGACAACAAGAAAATAAAAGCTAAAGTCATTTGAAAAACACAGAACTATATATATGAAACAAAAGTGAGGTACTTAAACAAGTGTTTGAAAGACTAGGTAACAGTTGACTAGGGACTAAGTAAGAACTAGATAACAATTTTACCATTACAATTGTATTCTGCAAAAAATTCATCTAAACTGTAAAAAGGGTGGTCAGCAAGCCAAACCATCAACTTTTGTTTTAGCCGAGTACAAGGAATGTCAAGTATTTCACTTGCAAAACAATTTACTATTTTTACTGATATACTAGCAAAACTTTGCTGTACTGTTGTTAGTCTGGTGTAGGGCCTATCCAAAGCAGATCTTCCCCTTGTGTAATATGAGTGAAAATTATTTCTTGAGCTAAAGAAATGTGAATTTTGTTTTAGCCTAGGTGTAAAAACAATAATGCCCCAGTCAATAAAAATGTAGTTATATTGTTTGTGAAGTGATGTGTTATGTGAAAAGACCTAACTTTCTTGGAAATTTATGAGGTGTAGGCCTACATATTGGATAATATAATTCTGTTTGGGTCTGCAACACATTTTCCAGCATAATTTGTTTCCATGGCAATCTCTTAAAAGAAATCGTTGCCTAGAAACCCAGAGAAAACATCCAATTCTGACTCTAGGAGCTGTGAGTGTTCAATGTTGACTCATACAGGGTTGTCAGCGGCCGGGAATTCCGGGAAAATAGGGAATTATGCGTGAATTTTAACAGCCGTGAAAAAACCGGGAAATATGCGTGAAAATCGTATTATTCCGTGAATTTAATTGATATCGTTAATACAGTTTTTTTTCAAGTAATTTTAATAGTTATAAACCGTTTTGCAATACTTTCTTGATTGATTTTATAGTAAACCAAAATTTACGGTTTACTGGCGAGTGGCGATGGTTCGGAAGAAGCAGAAGGTAAGTTGGATGTACACTACCTAGAGGTCGTACGGAACAAGGTGAAGCTTGGAGGGGAATAGTGGTGTGGTGGGGGAAGTGTCGCTATGCAAGGCGACGATCGGCTCGTCTCCTACCCCCACCATGGATTCCCCTGCTTTAGACCGTTCCCGCCAAAAATCTCAGGCTTCACCTCGTTGCGCACGACCTCTACCACCATGAATAGGCCTACGCGGGAAGCCGACGCCGCCGGTCGCCGGAAGCACTTAGTTAAATATACTCGCAACTCGAATCGAGTAGTAGAGGTTAAGCCGATTTCGTTGATGTTTGACACGTAAATAATAAGAAAGGAAAATGTTTGAGTTTTATTTAATCCCTTAACCCCTTTCAATATTGACATACTAGGCCTAATAATAATCGGCAACCTAGGCATCGCTTGCGTCATCCATTTCACTGACAGCGACAGCTGACACTGGACTGGGTGATGGTGATAGCAATGAATACACAAACTATATATATAGTTTGTGTATTCATTGGTGATAGTGATAGGTAGTGGTGTGCAGCGAGTGCGATGTATTGAAATTTCAATTCGATTCTAAAAAGGGATGTATCGATTATCGTCATCGATACCACCATCCATTGGTTACCACTTGGACATTGGTATCGGTTCGGTACCAAGACTCGATTGTCAAAAGTCGATTCCGATAACACCGGACACCCGACAGGGATAAATATTTTTTTTTTACATTTATCAACTTTATAGCTACAGTATTAGTTTTGTAATCACGATTAGTTTTGTAATCACGGTTAACAATTTTCATAGCCAACATAGAAACTATCTAGTTCAAAACAGCGACGGTGCCGGTGACATTGTTTAGCTTCAGCTCATTGCACAACACAATCTACATTTCAAGATGTCAGACTCAACTCATGAGACAACCGGCGCGCGAATGTCCTGCCAACACGAAATTAATTATACTAAACAATGTCTGTATCAATAAGTCAGACATTTAGATGTATTATTTTTATTTTTAGTACAAAATAAATAACCTAAACACGTCGAAATGTTCAGTTTCCTCCCTGCAATATTCAACCATTAAACTTTAACATCGTCATCGTCGTATGGTTAGGCTTGCTTTATATTGCGCCAAAAAGTAGGTCCATATATTTATCTGTACTATCTACCTGATTAAAGAGTTTAGTGAAGTTTTAAGTGCTACTATGACACAATGCATTTATTGAAAAATATCATAAGCCTAAGTCCATGTAGATTTTGTAATGTTATAACGAATGGTGAATGTTGACAATAATAGTATGTAACAACAGTTCTCATTGGTCAGGAGGCGACAACGCACTACCATGTCAGCCAATCGACTTTCGTGTTTCAATGGAGCAAATGACGATTGCTAGACATCGTTTTATGTGCTTTGCTTATTGTGGGTGGGAAGGGTATCGATAATTTATCGTGATTCGAGATCCGATATGTAGTACGTGTTCGTTTATGCATAATGAGTATTTAAGTATAAAAAAACTAGGTTAGTTACAGACAGGTTCAAAACATCGATTGTTACGATCCATTTTTGACACCCCTACATGGAAGTTATAGTGACGTCGTGCATAAGGGCCAGGCAGGCCGGTTCACAGTGAATCCACTCTGCCGAACCTATACTCTTGGTATCATCGGGAACAAAGTCAAACACTTTTGTTACTAAATAAAACTATGGCATGTTTTATAAAAGCACTCATTTGGAGATTCTAGTCCCTAAACATAATCTTTATTGTAGGCTAAAAGTAAAACTTATCTATTGCCATACTTTACTCCACAGACGTCGACTTAGGCTATTCTACAACTCTTTAAAAAATACCAGGTTTCAGTCAAAATACTTTTGTAAAAATTGACAGTGTGCTGTTTTAACACAGTCATTCCTTGACCACGATCGTTTTTACTTCTTATAGAGAAAAGACTCTCCTTACAAAAAGTATTTATAGGTCAAGATGTATGTAGGCCTAGTTTTTTAAAAGTATAATAACTGCAATTGCTTTTAAAAATAAATACAAAAACTGTCAAATGACTTAGATTAATACTTGTAGGCCTAAGCCTATTTATTATTAGACCTCATCACAGTCAAATTCAAACATTTGCAGTGTTTTTAAATAATTAACACTCAGAAACGTTTGTGTAATGGAAATCTGCAAGCGACTGACGCCAAGGGTAAGGGAGGGCATGTGAACCAGGCTTTAGAGCAAACTTTCTCTTTTCCTACTATACCCCATGTCCCGTTAGACGGTGGGCGGGGCTTCACACTAAATAAACACTCAGTTCATTCATTCACATTAGAGAATAGTTTTTGTGGCAGTGACGTATGTCTCTGTAATACAACCTATAGTAACCTTTTATAAGCATTATTAAACAATTATTACACACAAGTAAGAAGAGTGGCCTTTATTTTGAGTTTGAAACTGATCAAATGACTAGTCTAGCCTACTGTATTAGCTTGATCAATTAATGTTTAAGGTAATAGAGTTTATAACCTCTGATAATTCTGAACAAATTATTAGCCAAATATAGTATTATGAGTGGATGTTATCAAAATGGCACCCATAATGACCCACCGCGCTACCCCTTACCCGCCCGACCATCAGTGCGTCACTAATTAATTATGTGTCACGAAGTGTTCACCGTTTCATCGGTCGGGGCTTACGTAGTCCCTTGGGCAATTTGGCTTGCTTTTTTTAATTTGCTGATAAGTGTAACTTGTGTTGTGCCGTTCTTATAAGTATAATAGACACCGGGAATTCCGTACTTTTTAGCCGGGAAAACCGGGAAAAATGCGTGAATTTCGTTTATAGATCCTGCTGACAACCCTGCTCCTACCTTTTCACTGTGAAATACAATATTTTTAGGTTCTTTGAGAGCATCTTTCCTTGACATAGGCTCCTCTTAAAAAACAATTTCCCCACTTACCATCTTTTTAATTATTTCGTCAACAGAGTCCATTGGTATATCGCCATCTTCGTGAACAACATTTTCAATGGTTTCAAGAACCAAATCCACTGGTGGAGTTGAATTGTCAGGTTCGTCGACAGCCTCTTTGTCTTCATCAGATTCCGACTCGCTCTCGTTCTCTTTCATTTTCACTCACAAGCATTTGTTCATCTTCATTTGTTTCACTATCAATTTCACTCACTGGAACGTACAAAATCACAAGCCGCCATTCCGTAAACAAACCCAGCAGAAAGCTGAGAACAACAGGTGGCCAAGAAATCAGTATTTACTTGCAATAAAAACAAGTTAAATACTAATCATTTCAACTAAAAACAGGTCGTGGTAAAGCAGTTTGCCTGATTAGTGCTGCTACCTAGCATTGAAACAGAGAACTACTAGGTGCACGGTCGCTACTTGTTATTGTATTATTAAGGACCGCGGCACTATGGTGGTTCGTGACCGTTTGATGTAGGCCAATGGGTTAACTGAAGTATATTTGCTGATTGCTCAGCTGCAGGGTGTCTAAAACTCCTGAATTTACTCGCAACTATGTAAAACCTCCTAGAACACAGGGTCACAGTGTTAGAGTCACTATATTTATGTGTATAGAGTTGTATATGTGTCCGTGAACACGATAACTTATGTTTGAGCTTAATGAAATTTGGTTTTAAGTTGTAAGGCTGGATGAACTTGAATCAAGTTCGCGAACCAGCATGATCGGAGCATGGGAACGGGGTTTTATGGGGTAAAAAATGGGTTTTCTTATTTTTGACCCTCAAAACACAAAATCCCAATTTCTCTCTGGATCTTTTTAAAGAGATTAAAAAAACCAAATGATTTAGTATATCAAAGTGTTTTTGTACAAGTATTGGTAACAAAGAAAATTCAAAAATTGTAAATTTAAAATTCTCATGTGATTCTTATGGAGAACATTGTAAAATGTTGTAGTTTGCTTGTTTATAGATATATTTTGTCAAAACTTGGCAAATTTATCCATCTTACACTAAGCTATCAATATTTTACCCAAAAAATTGAAAATCAATTCAGACAAATGGAAATTCGCTTATTCGGCAGGTTTGCTGCGGCGGGTATTTTGTTCCAGAGAAGTTGTCCAGACTAAAGGGAAACTACTGAACAAAAAATGTTCAATTTCTTTCAGCTGTCAATATCCATTCCTACTGGGATTTTTTTGTTTTTTTATCACTAATATATTTATTAATAGTTTATATTTTTTTGTTTTAGGAGTCAACCAGTCACAAGGTACCTGATGTGATGACCAGCTCTGCTAACTGATCATGTTTGTATTTATAACTGTACATCTGTTTATCTATTTCTTCTTAAGAAAACTACTTATAGAATTTAATTTGATTTTGTCTATGTCAAACTGTTTCCTACTTGTAATTGCCAAAGTTTGATATTATTTGTGTAAAAGTTATGATAAACAACTTGTAATGTAGACTTGATTTTTTCATCAATAACAATTGAAATAACTGGATGTAAACTTCTTTAAATGTATGATGTTAAGATTTCCTTAACAAAAACACAATTGAGAACTTTTTACCATTCTTAGGTTTACTTCAGTATTATTATTTAGTTTCAATGTGAATCAAATCTTTCCTAAAGAAATTATTTTATCTGTGAATGTTTTGTTACTATTGTCACAAAATTGTAAATTTAGTCAATTGTATTCCTTGTCATTAAGGTTTTATAATAAATTGTTATCACTCAGATTTTTGTTACTCATTATTGAAAGTTATGCCTTGAAGTAATGTTGTAAAAAGGGTTGAAAAAACACTGATATTTTGATTTTCTTTATACAGGGTTAACCTTGTAAGGGTACATATTGAGTTATTCAGACTAACCTTAAAAGTCTGATTATGCCGAGCTAAACGGGACCGAGACTACCTCGGATAGTCAAAAACTCGGATAACACGGCGGTAAAAATTATTCCCGGTGGAAATGAATTTGCCCGGCTATCAATACTGTGGACCTGGAACAAAATTGAAAACAGCTATCCCCTGTATATTGTCGGGTCAGGTAAAATCTTGTACGTTAGACATTACGCAAGAGCGTGTTTACATCACTTAGGTGAATTATGCAACCTGCGTGATGTAAGTACGCTCTTACTACACTTGTAACGTAAATGCTACTATGAATGAGTTATTCCATATGAAATATAATAATTTCAGTATTAAGTTTGTTTTAATCAACTGACAGTTCTGCTTGTTTACATTTTATAGGTTATGAGTTTGCTCTTTGTTGCCATGGATGCCAATCAATATATACTAAAACTCTCACCTCTGAAGCCCACGGGGCAGAGTCCTTGGACAATATCGAAGCGGGAATAGTTCTATATGTATTATCCTGTAGCTTCATTTTTGCCCAATTTGAGCCCAGTCAATTCAGTAGTTTTTTAGCTTATGCAAACACAGACAGACAGGCAGACACCACCTCTTCTTTATAATATAGTATACGGTTCTTCAGTCATTAAGATGTAAAACCATTGACTATACACAGTCAATGGTAAAACTCACTACATTTTTGCATTGGTACAACCGTACAACGCAGAAACCTACACTGTAGCCTATAACTAATAGGCTCCTAATTAGACATCATTGATATACCAAGATATAATTGTAATCATCATCAATAATTGTTCATCTTTTGTTGTTGTCGACGGTCACGAGTTCTCCATTGCCCCAAAACCTAAATTCTCCACAATTCCCTGACCATGTAGCCACACTGCAACTTAGTCCCGGTTTTAATTGCTCTACGACCATTACAACTTAGGCGCAAGCCTGGTTATTGATCGGCATACTAAAGTTTGGCCGAGTCTAACGCTGGGGGGCTTACTAGCTGGGCTCGAGCTCCTAAACTGTCTCTAAGTTGATAACCTGTTAAGTGTTTGAAAGGCTTACAAAGATTACAGACCAAAATGACATTATCAGGGATAATATCAATGAAAGTCAGTTAATGCAACAAATATTTAATGAAAAAACTATACATTATGTACATACTGCTTTTACATTGTAAATGCATCCGACTTATATAAGACAGTAGTTTATACTATAACATATAATTACCATCAAAGGTACCTATAGAATATATAGCTAAAATGAACTTGTCTTAATAAAACAAATTTGTATTACTAAATAGAACACATATTTAAATCATAATATATTTAGGTAATTATTAACAACAATTAATATATTTTAATGTAATTTTTCAAAAAAGATTCAAGGATCATTTTAGTTTTGGAACTTAGTAGTTTTGATACTAACATTGGAAGCTACTGACTTACGTATACTATATTCTAGAAAAAATACATATGATAATCAATCTGGTTCCTATGGCTGTTAAGATGCAGGAGTATCTGGTTCATGCAGCTCTGAAGTTGCCGGAGTATCTGGTTCTTGAGACTGTGAATTCGCCTGAATATCTGGTTCTTGGGACTGTGAATTTGCCGGAATATCTGGTTCTTGAGACTGTGAATTCGCCTGAATATCTGGTTCTTGGGACTGTGAATTTGCCGGAATATCTGGTTCTTGGGACTGTGAATTCGCCTGAATATCTGGTTCTTGGGACTGTGAATTCGTCGGAATATCTGGTTCTTGGGACTGTGAATTCGCCGGAATATCTGGTTCTTGGGACTGTGAATTCGCAGGAGTATCTGGTTCTTGCGGCTGTGAATTTGCTGGAGAATCTGGTTCTATTGGTTGTCAAGTTGTTGAAGAATCTTTGGTAGAAGAGGTGGAACCTGCAACAGCATAAGTAACTTACAAAATATTTGCTCCCTTGATACAACAGGTGCAAACAGACAAACAACAGTAGATAAATGGAATTGCTGGTTGTATCAAGTAATAACAATCAACAATAAAGCACACAAAAACTTGTTAATTACTGTAATGAGATAATTCCATGAATACTCAATCATGTATAAACATAAACAAAAGTGTGAGCTTCCTATGAAACAGCAACTTGATAAACTATCACCTCCTCCTGTCAAAATCAAAGGTTACTTGTTTGGGATTTTTTCTGAATCAGAGTGGTGTATCCACTAGAATAATTGGTAGTAGTTTATGAATGTATTTAATAACCTGTCTGAGTCTGCTAATTGATGATTGCTTGAATTTCAAATAAAAAAAAAATTATTAAAATTGTTGGGGCACACAATGTATTACCTACTGATTATTAATACAGTATGTTGTAACTCTGTATGGGTAAAGCGAGGCACCAACTATAATACACTTTTCAGACAAACTTTTTCAGGTTTCTAGATCATTTACGCCACTCTATCAGCAATTCAGAATTGCCAATGAGGATTACTGTATTTCAAGATTACGACGTTCTCTCTTTTAACTCTTTTTTTTCTGTAATAAATAAGAACATAGCACGTACCGGATTCTGCTGCACTCAGTGACTGAGATTGTACAGTTGTTGATGTTGTTGGATGAGGGTGAGACGGACCAGCAAAGTCTTTCTCTGTAATCTCCTCCAAGTCTGGGATTTCCTCCTGTGTACAGACCATTTATAATGAAACCACTGACAGTCTTAAGTTGTATCCACAACTAGAACATTTGGGGAGTGACCAGTGTGGTAGGCTATAGCTGAGGTCCCGCCAATCATACATGGTTAAAACTTTGGTGATAATTGGTCCGTATAGATGGGATGTCTACTGTAGTATATAGTCGCCAATGGTTTTAGCTATATAATAATAACATGGTTTAAAGCCATGTAGTAACTCAAGCAAGGAAAGCTTTCTCTATACAGTAGAACCTCTTTAATCCGAAATAATTGGGACCGGGGGTAGTTCGGACTATTGAATAGTTCGGATTACAGAACATATTGTTGTTTTTACACAACAAAATGGCTATAATAGATCATAATTATTGTTACGGGAAAAGTGAAAAATATTTTATAAAGTTAAATACAGTCTTTATTTAGTACAGTAGGAAACATAGTGAATAAACAGTAATGTACATTACAATAGAAACAATTACGGTGCGTATATAAATAAATACAGTATACAATAAAGAACGAGTACAGCAATGGTCTTCGGATTAAAGAGGTTCTCCTGTATATATTTGTTGTTTGGCATTTTTTAAATTAACTCAAACGCTTTAAAGGGTAAGCAGTCAAAACTTATTCAAGTTTTGTGGATGTGCCACGAATTGAGCCCATCCCTCCTGCACTGAAGACCGTGACGCTAACTACTAGGCTAGCAACACACCCTAAAACTCTAAAACTCACTCCACTAACAAAGTTATTAAAAGTACATAATTTTCATCTAGGCCTACAAAAAAAAATGTAACAAAGCAAAATATTTTGGAAAAAACAGTTGAGGGAGGAGCCTATTTAAATTGTTACTTCGAAGGAGCCAATGAGGACTGTGCGTTGTTGCCAAATCTAATAATACCAGCTGATTTGTCTTGGGTTTGGAAGCCAGATATACCAGGCTAATTGATAAAACTAAAACAACTTTTTCACATTCAGCATTTATAAAAACTTATAATATTAATAATTTACAATTTTACCCAAATGTACTGAACTGTTAAAAATTTTCACATCCATATTTGGATTTAGTACAACAAAATATAACAGATTCCAATTGCTAATCAATATCTACTGGGCTAAGCTGACCTTTATTTCAAAATCAGTGGCTATGGCCTCATACAGTTCATGATCCTCCTTGATTTGTTTCAAATCCGTACCATCCTGCAACAGAAATAATTTCTTAATCAAAGAAATAATAAATCTTATAAGGCTTAAGCACAAATGAAATAGGCCCTTGCCATTCCAACATCATTTGTCTTTGAGTAAGATTTCAGCCAAAAGTATACAATACCTCAATTGGATCTTAACTCATTCAAGAACGGAAACTATTGAACCAATTAAGCAGAAATTTTGAGGGACATATTTTTATTTTAAAACTCTCCAAGGACTTGCCTCACTGGTTTCCAAGTTGCCATGTTATTCTTTTGAATCAACTTAATAATATTAGAGTTGCCATATTAGAATAAATCAGCTTGTGAAAATGTTTATGTTTATGATTTATTTACTTTGTGGAAAGTTTGTGTTATTTTATAAGAGCAATGTTACAATGACGAGAGGTATTAAAACTGTTGTAGGATTTTGCTAATTGTTTTGAGTGAAATTTGTATAATGAGGATTTCATGTGAGTACTATTAACAAATTACCAAATTTATCGCTTATGATACTTTTTGCTGCACTACTAGTTACAAATATATAGCATTAAATAAAACTAACCTTAAACAGTCACATTTCCGAACAATACAGTATACCTTTTTAACAGAATTATTGATATGTTTTTAAAAGGTTCTAATATTTATTGTAAAGGTGCAATGCTCCAGGCAGAACCTATTTATATTTCTTGTGTAGCTCTGTTGAGAGCCTGATGACAATAATTAATTGTGTAACTAGCTCGTGTTACACATTATATTTTTCCTACAGGTACTATAAAGCATAGAAATAATTAGTCTATCAAACAGTAAACAACACTAGGTTAGGTTAAATCCAAGTGTTGAATGAAAAGGAAAACACTGCACCAGCTGATCGTAGTCGTAGTATATTTAAGTGTTGCCAACCTATTTTCAAGCGTACACGTATTACGTGTCTAATAAAAGCACACTTTTTTTGTTGTTTGGTTGGAATATTGGAGTGTGGGAAAAAAATTAATACCGCAAATGTAAAATGGATGCGGCAAAAGTAAATGCAGCAATCAGCTACTTTGCGTGCTGGTACAAGAAAGCCCGCTTTGTCAGGTAACTGTAGGAAAAACTCAGTTTATGCCTACTCCAAGGTGTCCTGTAAAAAAATCACCAGTCTCCAGCTGATTTTACAGTGATCCAGCTAACTTTTCTGGTCCCTTTTTGTAAAAAATCCAAACTACCTTAGTAACTAAATAAGAGTTAATTTTGCTGAACTTTTTACCTCAATATCCATTTCAAACTCCTTTCCCCTGAAAAAAAGATAAATACAAATAAATTTACCACAATGTACCTTTGTAAATCACAAATCACGATCTGCCAGTCTACAGATAAAGATGTAAAAAAAACTCCAAAAGATGTTGAATAAAAGCAGCATTCTAGACTTAAAACAATTTTTTTAAAGGTACCTTAAGTTCTTAAACAACAGGGTGTCCAGTGTCCCATAAAAATAAAAGGACAATGATGTGCAACTATTTCATACAACATACATCTTAAGAACCACACAAAGCACTGGTATAGCAGCTAGTGTAAAATCAAATAAACTAGAGGACCTATGCTGCTCTAGTGTGACTTACATTTTTTTAAAGGTACCTTAAGTTCTGAAACAACAGGGTGTCCAATGTCCCATAAAAATTAAAGGACAATGATGTGCAACTATTTCATACAACATATCTTAAGAACCACACAAAGCACTGGTATAGCAGCTAGTGTAAAATCAAATAAACTAGAGGACCTATGCTGCTCCGCAGCGTTGACCCATGCTGCTCCGCAGCGTTAAACTAAAAATATAATATCCAAGAACTAATCAAATTTATGATTTTTGATGAGTATTACATTATCTTGATACTGATTCAAACGATCAATAGCTCAATTTAAAGACTATAATTACTGATTATTTTGAGTCTAAAACATACATGAACAATACTTGAGCTATTGATTTTTACTTATAGAAAAACATTATAAAAAATAATGTTTATGTTGGTTGTTCTCCTTGCGTTTGCTTGAAACTCGTTCGATTTGAATAACTAATACAGTAGCAGGTATTTCACTGAAGGTCCTTAGACCAAAATATATAGGATTGTATAATTATAACTGGTGAAATACATCTTAAATTGAAGTAAGGAATCGAAAATGAATCAAATTATGTTTTTCGGTCAAATAATACTAACTTTAACTGTACAGTATTGTACAACATACAGTAGACTCCCTCTAGTTCTCCCACAAGTATCAAGTTGTGTTTTTTTTTTATTGGTAAATATGTGCCGATGCATTTCCTTCGATGGTCGATGCCTGATGTGACATCTTTGCGTGTATGCCTTCAATTTAAGACCTCAATCATGAAAATCGGCCGGGTAGAAGAGCCAATCGAACTCGGCAAAGAAAAGCCAAATTTAACTACCATAAGAAATACATGGGAAGCAAATTTTGTTTATGTATACACCGAGTGGGATTATAGATACATTTATGCCGTTGCTTGATGGCAAATCTGTACGTGCATACCTTCAATTCGAGACCTCAATCGGCCGGGCAGAAGAGCCAATCGAACTTGGCAAAGAAAAGCCAAATTTAACCCCCATAAGAAATACATGGGAAACAACTTTCGTTTACGTATATGTCGAGTGAGACTATAGATAATTATATGCCGATGCTTGATGGCAAATCTGTGCGTGCATACCTTCAATTCAAGACCTCAATAATGAAAATCGGTCGGGTCAAACAAGCCAAACGAACTCGGAAAAGAAAAACCAATTTTTTTAAATATATAAGATACCTTTACAGAATTCCAGCCAATTTATTGGGTGTTTTTTTTTTTATTCAAAACAATATGGATGGTTATCTAACAACAACAGTGGCAGGCAACTTACTCATTCTGGCCTTGGCTAGAAACATCCCTGCTGTTTTTTGATTTTTTACCCTTCTTCTTAGGTGACGGTGCCAAAGGGTCTTTTTCTGTTTCAGGTCTGAAAAACAATAGCACATATAGATGTATTGATATACGATATTTCTTCAAGTAATCAACATTGAAAGTCATAACTATAATTTTTCATGAACACTGCAGACTTCTACAGCGGTTATTTGACGAAGAAACTGCTAGTTTCTGGCCGTAGTGTGTGTGTGCAATATGGAATGCTGATATTTCAATCCTTACAATCGCCCTCTATCACCAGGCTGACTATCACTTATTACTGACTACAGAGTTTAATTGAGAGCAGGAGGTAAAATGTATACAGAAATAGGTTTGCAGCAACAGTGCAAGTGTCCTCAACAGATCCTACCACTCCACAATCCAACCAAGGTAAACAATCTCAATCAGTGATTATTTCCCGTTTTGTAAAAAACTTTATTTTTGTGAATCATTCACCATTGAAACTAGGGAATGTGAGTACATTTGCTATAAAAACCATAGCTCTTAAGTACTACATAGTAAAATTACGTTTTACAATACACCACTTTAGTTTTTACAAATGAAATCACAGTTATTGTATTTACAATCGTTCCTATTCCTTTATTATGCTGAAATCTCATTGTCACACTAGGTTTAATTGAATTTGGCTGAGTAAGATACACTTTTACAACACCAGTGGCGGTCCCTGGATTTCATTCCGGGGGGGGGGGGGGGACCACCCGGAGTCTGGAATCTCCCCCAGAGAAAGGGTGTCCTTGTGGAAGAAAATTGGAATTTAAAACCTAAAAACATATTTTTATACATATTTGAGCTCTAAAATATGCTAAAGCTAATAGTATTTATCTTAGCTAATCAAAAATTAAATATTCCAGGATGGGATATATCCCTTCCACCCCCCCCCCCCCTGGGACCGCCACTGCACAACACACACAACAATACCTCACAAACTACAATAGGAACACCAATGAATACGAATACATAATAGGTAGAACAATTAAGTAGAGTTTAAGAGGATCAATTTCTTACATGTTGGTAATGTATCCAAGAGGAGTAGCTTCCTTGCGTTTCTTGCTTATTGGTGATACAGGCCTGAGAGTTCTGTATGTTGCCATTCTGGAGGGTAAAAATAAATATTGCAACACAATTTTAAGGCATAAATCACAAATTACATTGAAAAAACAACATACAGGAAAGATTATTCCAAAAAAATCTGTTGATAAATTGGTAAACGGTTTTTACAGTAACCGATTATCATAGTGTACTAAACTAGACAAGTGTGCTCAAGATTTAAGCCTGAACAATGAACATTGCAGATAGAGGTCAGAAGAGTACTATGTAACATAGAATCTTGAAGTCTAAAATTTGTTGTATCTATATAAATAAAATTAGAGTTTTGTCTGTACATTGCTCAGAATCATAAACTTTTAGGTTATTTTTACGTTTTATACATTAGAGAAACCGAAACAAGTCTCATCTAAATTTCTGTCTGTCTTCATGTCTGTTACGACCCAAGAGCCATTTTACGCGGCCTACTCCTGAAAAACGAGAGAACCTATCAAGTTCCAAACCATTTTAATGTATTCACTGGATTGGCGAAATTGTCTTTAGCCATTAAAATATGGCGTCACCACTTTGTAAATAAAATAACGGACGTTTAAAAACCCAATTTTGTGCGATTTTTTGTAAAGTTTTCTCCCAATGTTTAGCACATATTCTTCTATGAAATAACGAACAGCTGTTCAAATCAAGATTATTTCTTCTAGCTGTCACTGATAAGTTCACATTGAATGTTGTTTACAAATACCGCAACCATTTCCGATCACGTTTTGAAAGCAAATCCCAACCAATTAAGATTAAAAACGTTTTTCCTTACATAACGGATTTAATTAATCGCAAGTGCAATAATATGTAGGGTAACAGTAAATGAAAATAGAGATTCTTTGTGTGTAAAATTGTTCTTGAGTTTTGATAACCGGGAAATAGACGTTGAATCAGTGTTGTATATTGCTGGGAAACTTACATTTTTTAAATTAGCGTTTTCAGTCGAGACTCGGCACACGACCGACGCGCGTCTACTTGTCTATAGTAAAAATAAAAGTAGGCCTACTGTGTATTTATGTTTTATTCGTCATGTGTATAAGTGTACAGTTTGTGTATGTGTTTAAAAAACTCCAAGACGCACCTAATGGGGAAGCTCAAGACCTTTAGGACTGATGATGGCGATTTAATTTCGCCGAAATGCATCTCCTGTAATAGGATACATTAGGATCGACCAGCGGACACAGGTAATTTAGGCTTTTATTGATTGTCATACCGCTCCGGAACAACAACAAACGTCATAAAATTAAGTTATGTATAATAAATAGTTTGGCCAGCATATCTGAAAATATGCAAACCAACTGCTGTTCTTTATATAAGAAGGTTTCAACTGATTACTATAAGATCCCCGTGCGTAGAACGGGTACACAGCTAGTTCACTCTAAAACTGTTATGATAATCTATAAGCTTGTACACAACAAAAATTGATACCTGTGTAAATAATACAAAAAAGGAGGAAATTATTACTTTGTTTTACCAAAACTAAGATTTTACTAAACTTTCACAAATAATAATGAGTGAGGGCTGGTAGCAACCCTAGTAATATTTTGCATTAAAAATTCTTTATTTGTCCCAAAGTTTTACAATTAATTACACAAATACTACAAATTAAAACATCTAAACACTAGCCTTAGTGCAGTAAATCACAAAATTTACTTACTGTGGTTTTGGAATGGTGACAGCAAAAAGTGTTCCATCTGCTGAACTATTGACGGTACGGACATTGCAATCAGTCAGGAGCGAGCCTAGCATAGAATGTTGAACTGGTGGAATGGCACCCATTATGGCGGGTTGGTCACTCATTACACGGGTTGTGATATCAGTCTCAGTAGGATGAGCCATGGGCATCATCGGAACAAGTTTGAAAGGAGAACTAGAGGTTGAAGCAGTTGGGAATATCATTGATAACGGACCTGTTAAAAGAGGGGAGCCGTAAGTGGGTGAAGACGATCGATCTGGACACGCACACTTCTTCACAACTTGTGACTCTTTGATCATTATAGGCTGCTGCTCTAAACTTGTACTAGTTCCTATTGTTTGAGTCTCAATGGAGGAATTAGTGGTCGAAATACTAGGCATAATTGTTGTAGCACTACATCTCACATTTGCTTGAATAAAATTGGGTAAACATGATGTACTAGTACCAATACTTTTTTTATCAACTTGAGGTTTTTGTATAGGCTCATGAATTGATCTCATCATTAGCGTTTGTTTTCGCTGCCTAACTCTTTTTGGCTGCTGGGAGACTGTCCTGGGTGTAATGATCTCAATACCAGGTTTAAGTGTAGAAGAATTAGGGGATACATTTATTACACCACCTCCCGAGGAAACTGTCCTGGGTGAAATAATCTCAATACCAGGTTTAAGTGTAGAAGAATTAGAGGATATGTTTATTACACCACTTCCCGAGGCAACTGTACTGGGTGTAATGATCTCAATACCAGGTTTGGGTGTAGAAGAATTAGAGGATACATTTATTACACCACCTCCCGAAGAAATTGTACTGGGTGTAATAACTGCAATACCGGGTTTAAGTGTAGAAGAATTGGAGGATACATTTAGTACTCCACCTCCCAAAACTGTCCTGGGTGTGGTCTCAATACCAGATTTAGGTGTTGAAGAATTAGAGGATATGTTTATTACACCACCTTCCAATGTACCACTGCTGATAATTTGAGTTGCCTGTGTTTGTGTTTGTATGTGTTTAGGTACCTTCTCTGCTGATGTTTGAGATTCCTTGTTAGTTTGTGTGCCCACACATTTCACCTTCTTAAACTTATCTTCGCACAACGCCTCAAAAACTTCATTGATGAGTTTTTTCTTGAGAAAATAAACTTTATGTTCAGGCAGCCCTCTTAAAAGGGAAGACAAGTGTTTACCAAATTCATCAAAGCTATCGAGCAAAGTTGCCTTTACGATCTTATCAGAAATACTTTCCAACCTTTGTACGGCCCAATCAAGCCTAGTATCACGAAATGGACTTGTATCTGCAGAGGTGTGTGTTCTTTTAGTACTAACTGTAGTAGGTCTTTTTGAAGTGGTGTTTTGTCGAGGATCAGGCATTTTCTGATATTTCCTTTGGTTATCCAATTTGTTGCTGTCGTCGACATGTTTTTTAAAAACTATTTCGGAGGCATTAGTAGGCTTAGGAACTGAAGGATTAGAAACTGTCGGCTTAAGAACTGAAGGCTTAGAAACTGAAGGATTAGAAACTGAAGGATAAGAAACTGACGGATTAGGAACTGAAGGCTTAGAAACTGAAGGCTTAGAAACTGAAGGATTAGAAACTGAAGGATTAGAAACTGACGGATTAGGAACTGAAGGCTTAGAAACTGAAGGCTGAGGAACTGTAGGCTGAGTATCGTCATCAGAATTATTGTCAACAGAATCACATATTATATCATCATAACAATCCTCACTATCCAGTGCTTGTTGGGTTGGGTCATCTAGAAGATTGTCACCCACAGCTAGAACTGTTTGTTTATTTTTCTCCAGTTCTTTATCTTTGCTTTCTTTAAAAGTCAACATTTTAGAAGTCTCCAATTTTCCAAAGTCAATATCCTGCTCAATGAACAACTCTGCTGGTTCAAACTGTATTGTGCTTTTAGAAGTGCAAGGCTGACTCTCAATAAGGCTGACTGTAGTTGCTGCAGAGACCTAAAACAGAAACAACCAAACCCACATATAATAAATATAGCTATTTGTGAATTAAGAGCACAAAAAACGTCGATGCCGCTCAAGAACTGTAGATGGCCGCACAAAGCTTTAGCTGAGAGCAGCTATACATTTTGAGAGCGGCATTGACTGTTTGTGCTCGTAATACACACAAGATTTTTCCTAACACCACAATTAACTTATAATAACACACAGATTAACTTTTAGATGTATATAAAATGTCATTTAGATTATGTTTGCTTTTTAAGGTTATGTCATTTCTTACCGGTTGTTAACTAACGTACCGGATCCGCGGCTGTAGTTAGTCTAGAAATGACAAATAGGAAATCAGCTGATTTAGCGAGCAGGAACAATCCACCCTCGCTCCATTCAGGTAGGAGTGGCAATGAGCTATTTTGCGTACTGCAGCTTAGTTACTTTTTTTACAATTTTGCATATTTTATATAATAAGATCTTATGATTTAGCAGCGTTTAATGAGTGGTATGTGCAAATTTTAAAACAGAAGTAACAAGGCAGCAATCAAGTAATACAGTAATTCACAGCAATGTTAAGACATTTTTATCACATTATTATTATTAAGGTACTCAAAAAAGTTAGTGATTTGTCAAAACCCAATCTCAAAACCAACAAAAATTTTAAAAAGATATGGTTTTGAGATTTGACATTCAAATTTTTCCTTGTTTATTACATTTGTCAAACAGAAGTTAAAATTTAAAACAGTGTTGTTAAAATTCACGAGAAAAAAGCATTTAATTCTACCAACTTAAATAAAATTTCTTAAAGAGGAACGATCTGAATAAATAAAAAGAAGTGAATGCAAAGGTTACCTCTGTGGCGATACTGGCGGATTTCCGAGACTTTGACAAAGCAGATGACATGGCAGAGAAATCCAGTTGTGAAGCAATTTGTTTGTCCACCCTGCAAACAACATTACACAATAACAGGACGGCCAAACAACACAATTCATCTTACGATAGTTAGCACCCAAATTGCCAAGATATATGAAGCAATTTGTTTTATTCCTATGGTGCCATGTACCACTACACTGTATGGACGTTATTAGATTACCACAAAATGGTACATAAGTACCTGTATAATGATACTTAAGCCACTTGATGAGACTCGTAATACTATTCTTGCATAAGTGTCCCATTGTATTAGCACTGAGCACCAAAAAGGACATTTAGAAGAATACTGGAACCATGCAAACGCCCTGCGGAAACACAAGCCGACAACTGGAAAAATGGCATACTGGTAAATACAAGAAGTAATGAAGCTGGGAGTTCCAGTACGAATTGCACTTGTGGAGTACTTAAGGAGAAAATAATAAAAATAAGGCAATAAAACATATCTATGATACATGTATGTAGATAAATCACTTCTTTAGAAGTTTAATAGAAAACTTTGCATTCATCAAGAAAGATAGGAATATTAGCCAATATGAAAATGAGTGGAGCCGACCAATAATAACTATCATACTTATAACTTACCAACAGCTTATATTGGAACTAGTCACTTTTTGACATATTGATTATATGATTAAAACCACATAAACTATTCTTAGGTATAATTTATTGAGTTACAAACTAATTACAATTGAGTAAGACAAGAATTAAGGTTAAATTGTGCTACTATTTAAAAAGAGTTTTCACCAATATTACCTTACATCTGGGGGGGGGGGGGTTCAAGCACAAAATACAACTTTTGGTAATAATTATTGTAATTAATGTCATTTGTCATTCCATAATTTTACTATTAACGACTGGTAAAGAAATTGGCAAGAATATCGAGTGTGAACGTGCTGGGTAATTTAGGTAGGAGGTTAAAACATTGAGTTTTAATGTACAGTATGTTAAAGAAAGCTTTAAAGTCATTAAGTCAGCATTTAAAATGATCAATTATAGGTTTTAACCTATACATTGTTGATACAGAATAGCAAACCATAGTATTTGATTTCTTGGATTAGTTGATTTTCCATTCATGACAACAATTTACAGTAATTCATAATTTGGAACAAAAACTGACAAGGAAATAATGTGCAAGAAAATTAAAAAAATAAATAATGTCCTCTCAACAAGTAAAAACCATTCCCAATCAGACCTACAAACATAATTTTAAAATAGGATATAAATAAGATAATTATTAATTATTGGTTAAGTTATGACTCCTACATCATATTTTCCTGGGACTCGGTTGTGCCTTTGTTTTTATTATCTTCATTAGGGTCATCGCCATTTTTTTCATCATTATTATCATTACTTGTTTTAGCGTTACTTGTGTTGTCTTCATCATTAAGTGTATTGCCTTCAGCGATACTTGAGCGGTCTACAGTTATATTCACGTTGTCTTCAGAAAAGATTGAGTTGTTTTCAACATTATTTGTGCTTTTACCAGCAATACTTGTGTTGTCATTGATATTAAGTGTGTTTTCTTCAGCAATACTCGTGTTTTCTTCAGAATTATTTATGTAGTCTTCATCATAACTTGTGCAGTCTTCAATATCATTTGTGCAGTCTTGATCATCATTGTTAGCATCATTGTGATCATCATTGTGACCATCATTGTGATCATCATCGTGACCATCATTGTTATCATCATTGTTATCATCATTGTTATCATCATTGTGATCATCATTGTGACCATCATCGTCATCATCATTGTTAACATCATTGTGATCATCATTGTGATCATTTGTGTAGTCTCCAACATTACTTGTGTTCTTTTCAACATTACTTGTTATGAGTTTACGGAAACGATACAACGATGATCTACATGTTTTATAATCAAAGACAGCAGCTGCTCCGGGAAATCTACAAAAGAAAAAAATATCAACTGTGTTAAAAACGTAAAATAATCCAAATTTAATTGTTTTTAAGATACATCAAAAGTTACCAAAATGTTTAAGCTTGTATGATATAAAATCCAAATAAATAGTTTATTTCATCCCTAAGACCTAAAGTTTACTTGTACTTTTTTCTACAAGCTCAGTTTTACGACCAAGGTGAAGCTAATTGAACAAATTGAGGGTTAAAAGGAAATTTAGCCTGTGTTATGTTTATACAAACAATTACATGCATGCTACAAACAATTACAAATACTCAAAATATGTTTTTTTGTTAAATTATACTATTGATTCAAAAATTACGTCATGAATGACGTTATTTAGGACAAACTATTGTGCCAAAAGGATGTATAGTTTTCTGTTATGACAGGAAAGAATGCCTCCATTTAAATTATAGAGTGTTTTAAAGACTTAGGTTCAAATTACTGTGTATTCCAAATCGGCCTGCCCTCTGCTTGGACTTTGAAATAACGATGGTTTAAAAATGCACAGTTAAACTTTGAAATATTAAATTCTTTACGTACTGGGCTGTTTTCTGAGTTATCAAAAGTTTTGATTTATCGAGAGTCTGAATTGACAAAAGTTCAGTTCCGATTTATCAATAGTTTGAATTGCCTGGAGTTTACTCAAAAGATAGCAATTATAGAGGAATCTTTCGTAATAGCTAATAACACTTACTTTGTGTTAAATCCATACAGTATATTTAATACGCTAGGCATATTTTTGTCAAAATTGTTTTGGAGCAGTGATACTACCAATCACCATGTCCAAGGTGTCGTTAGAAAGGTCTTAGCATGTAGTTTTGCCATCAAATAAAAAAACTTTGGAATTCCATCAGGGCTCTGCCCCAGTGGCCTTCAAAGTTCCCATGTTACTCTTAGGGAGAAAATGTTTGTTTACATTTGAACAGATGAATACTTTGGAATTGACACTTATATTTGCAACAGCTGGTTTCTAAAAATTGGAGATACTAAAATTGGAGACATGTGCTAAAAGGATTTAAATAAAGGAAACAATTGAGACGTTTAGAAAAGTAGCTAGGGAAATAGGAAAAACCAGGGATACATACAGGCTTTAAAATTTAAAAAAAGAAACAAACAAAAACTAAGAAAGAAAAGGAATGAAAACTTGCCCATGAGGGGAGAGGAAAGGTTAGAGCGAATCTCAATGATACCTATCGCTCAGGGCGAAATGGGGAAGGAAGTCGTGCTGTTATGCTTTTGGATGTGTCTGGACGAGAATTGAAAGTGGCTGAAGCCTTGGGAAGAAGATGAAAGAAGATTTTCACGGGGAATTGGCCTGGCAAATAAGTCCCAGACTTAAGCCAGCGGTGTTGGTAGGAACGAGGAGTTTTGCTACAATCATTTACTGACTTGGTTGAAATGCAATATTTACTTTTTGAATTTGGGTTTGCGTAAACATTACAATGGAAAAAAAGCGAGAGAGCCTGGATATCAAAGAAGAGTAGAAAACTGAATTAACACTGTGCTACATTTCTTAGTAATCATTAAAAGAGTCGATTTGCAAACTATGGAAACATAGGATAGTCATAGGGAAACATAGGAAAATAATAGAACACCACCAAGGAGAAGAAATAGAAATAATGTTTTTTTAGAATTTATAATCGTTATTATAGACAACCTAATGCGGCTATGAGGAAGGCTATTTGTAGAAAACACTATTTACAAGAAATGTTTATTAAATCGATCTGTTATGTACATCTTGAGTATTTCCATAATCTTTGAGTAAAATCTTTTTAAGTCATCAGAAATTATGACTGTTATTCGTTTTAAAATAACGTCTGTAATACTTAGCGATTGCTCGAATTCGAGCAACAGGTACACTAGTATAATATAAATAGGCTTATAGCCTACTATAAATAATTCTTCAATTGTAGCGTCAGAAACCCTTAAAACTCAACTTTTCAAAACTCCAACGGGAATTTGATTGTTTACATTTTAACTAAGCCTACTTTAAAAAACTTGTTTAAAAAACTAGGGGTTTAAGAAGAGGTTATTTAATACATTCACAATTTCTTCAGTTATTTTAATGTATTGTACATTTCTCACTACTATCCCATGTAATCTTGAAACTGACAAGATCATATTTAACGATCACGGTGACATTTGATACATCCAAAAACAAATGGGGTTGGCTCTTTACCAATTGGCAATATCGCAAATTTTTTATAACAAAAAAACTTTACAGCATTATTCCAACACAGTATTAGAGTGTGATTCATGTCAAAAAATACCAAAATTTACCCATTCAAAATTTCACATACAAATTAGGAATAACAATTTCAAAAGTTTGGTATTTGAACATCTCCAGCTTTTAAAACGTCACGATTATCACGATAAGTGAATATACAGAATATATTTGAATTTGAGTGTACTCCTGCTACACGCTCGTCTCTATTCTTGCTCATTTGACTGTTTAGGTACAGTAGAGAAAATTTACCAGATTTTTGGGTTTTTATCTGGGAATTTTTTTATCTCTTCCCCTGACCCACCTAGATGGCTCTGGCGGCCAACCAGGGGTTCAGTATGGCTAGGATAGCAACAACATTAACCAATTTGAAAATGTACACAACTCTTTATAGTTTGGTCATAAAACTGAAATAGATTTTGACAATGATTATTTAAAACATTTACTTACCTCTTAGAGACCTCTTGGTAGATTTTTTTTGGCTTTTTATCTACTTCTTTGAAGGCAGCTTCTTTCAAAGCAATTTTGAACAGACGCACTTCGATTGATACTTCATTGGATGGATGGTTGTGAAGGCCAGATAAGATGATTTCGTCTTCAATCAGCTTACCACGACATTGGCAAGTCGAAACCAAACACTTCATATACTTTCTTCCACCCGCAACTCTATTTACGACATAAATAAATCCATCTTGCACAAAAACCGTGCCTCGTTCACTTCTTAGTTCCATTTTAATGTTCTAAAATTCACAGATCATCACTCTAATGTTTATAAGATTGGAACTTGGGTTCGGGTAACGTGACACTTAACACCGGAACATATTAGCTGTACACATTTGCATCACAGAGACCATTTTATTTTAAACATCAATAGTAGCCCATAACCAGTTTTACAAACACAAGAATACAATGGAAACATATTGATCAACACTTAAGATCCTTAACCAAGGCTTTAAAACATTAACCTAAGTCTGTGGCATTCAGTAAGATGGTAAAGGTGTAGGAATCAATAGGTACTTATCTATCAGTATATATTGCCTTAATTTCTCAAAACTTTGTACTAGAGTTTGATATTTGGGTTTAATAAATCTTAGTAAGTACAATGAAGTCGCGAGTGTTCTACACTTTATGTTACCCAACCCTGCATGTGGTACTTGATATATTGACATTGTTATTGCATTGTTGTACAAGTATGAAGTCTGAACTTATTCACTTTTCATTAGTTTTTAAGTAAATGTTGTATCAGGCAAATTTGATTTTTTAAACTTAATTGCAAAAAGTTTCATAGCCTCCAGTACAATATGCCTACACTTGCGTTGATCTTATTTTCTCTTGACCTAAATTACAAAATAAACAAATATGAATAAAAAGTTCTCTTCCATACAAAGCTAAACCCAAACCAGTAAGCCATTAAACCTTCGCAAATCATAATAAAAGCAAAGGGGTTAAAATTAAATTGCTGAAATAGTTGTTCATCAACAGCCAAGTGAAGCAAATGCAGCGCGACGACCTACTACACAAATGTGAAGGCTCTCATATGGCTACGAGTGCTACGCCACAGAGCTAGTGACCAGGAAGCAGTTTCCGGCGGTTGGCGGCAACACCCTCGATTGCAGCTGTCGTATGCTCGTTTGAATGGCACCATTCGTTTCCGTAGTCCGCTACGTCGCGCCTACAATCTAGTGACTACCTAGTCCAGTCGCTCGTGTACACCGGGCCTTACTTTAGCTGCAGTTTTTGTAGGTGACTCCCATGACTGAGCGATTGATTTAGGATCACTGCATAAATACTGTGGGTTGGAATTGTGTTTAACATTTACACAAGCAATATGATTTTGGGTTTCAGATTCGCCTATATTTTGTTCCACAAGGGACTTTTCTTCCAGGCAGTCATGTACGTACACTGGCTGTTAGGCTGGATCTATAAATACAGCAGAGGATTGTAACGTCTTATTAAATTTCTCATCGGTAAAGAAAGTAAAAGAAAAGAACTGATCAAAAAAGTTGTGCTCAGGTCACAATCAAGACCAGTAAGTTAGGAAAAATAAAAACTACAACAGGTCTCCTACAAGAAGAAGCTAGAGATCTTGCAGAGAAGCAAAGAACGATATGTATCCTTTACACAATGAACTAGCCCTAACTAATCTCCTAAACCCTAGAGGTGATGTTTCAATAGCATCAGACGTATCAAAAAAATATTAAAAAACACGTTTCACGATCAGCACAGGGGATTAACTGTTAATACCGCCATATTTACATTGCGCTAACCTAATACAAATTTAATTTATAACGTACCTTAGTGTAATTTTGTTGGAGTTTCCTTTGCCACTACTTGAGTTCTGTATACTTCCATTTGATTGATCAGCAAGGCTGGCAAAGGTTTGTGGGAAAAAATTGACATAGCTCATAAGTTCTTCTTTACTGATTTTAATTTTTTTCATGACCACTGCATTGCTTGCTGGTTTTGTTGTTTTAGGCTTTTCTACAACTTGTTTTTTTTCTTGACGCGTTTTGTTTGAAGGAGACGCATCCTCGCGAACAATGGAAGTGCTCGTGATATTCCTTTTACGAATTTCTTCAATATCAAAACCACGACTGGGTATAGCACGCTTGCGTAACGTTGATCTATCCCCTTTTGTTGGAAAATAGTAATCAATAAAGTGGACATCACAAACAAATTTTTTTGCCAGGTCTTCCAGTGCGAGATCTTCTAGTTGTTTATTGCCACTGTTTCTTATCCAGCATTGGCAAATGTATGGCGTATCTACAGGGAATGGAAAAAATGTTCTTGCAGTAGATCGATGGTCCAGAACATTTTTACATCCGTGGAATTCACACTTCACTGTGTTATTTGTTGCACTCATGTCTGATGTTTTCTCCACTTTGTCAGATTTAGAGGTGGTATCCATTGTTTTCAAGTTTATTTTTTCAATTAATATCCGTTCAACACTACACTATTAGCTAACACATTGTTTGTATTGGGACCTTAGGTCCTAGCAAAATACAAAAGAGAATTAAACCGGGGGTCGGAAGGAAACTTTTGCTACATTTAGCAGTTTCTGCTTAGAAACAAAAATGTTCTACTAATAGAAATGTTAGCTAAATGTTACCTGTAGCATGGTTATGCTTTAACGTATAGGCTAGTGTAAACATTTGTTTTTTTTCAAAAGGTTGTACAGGATGGCGCAAAAAGGATGGTCGGTTTTGAAATGAATATAACACAAATGATTGTTCACATAAATTTTACTAACTTACGTTTCTGGACACTTTCAAATGCCCCATTACAAAAAAATAACATTGCAAGTTACAAAGTTGCTAATAGGCTATGTCAAATCAAACCATAAACATTTAAAAATTAAAAAATAAAAATAACGTAGCGGACTTTGAAGCACTGACGCTCTTTTTTTTTTTTTTTTTTTTTTTAAAGTTAAGGCTCTTACGGTCTCTACATTTTTGGAGTAACTGCCGTTCGTGGAAGTCCAGTTTATTTACTGTTCATGACAGACCCTGTTGTCCGAAATGCAGTCACCCAACGTGATACTGATCTACTATCAGAAACCAGTCCATTACGGTCTACACCAAAATGTTGTCAAAAAATGTATCGTTGGTCAGTAATAAATGATTCACTGTTTCTGAAAAAACTGTTCCACAGCATAAACAAGGTGCTTCACCGTCCACTGCGCCATCTCGTGGCAAATTGGATACTATGGTCGACTTACAGACGGCCGGCGGTGGACCCGACTCCCACTACTAGTACTACGCAGTTCAAATCCGACCATCCTTTTTGCGCCACCCAGTATAACATGTGCTAGGTTATATATTATATAGGACCTAACTCGGCTTTACACTTTACTATTGTGTGTTTTGCTTTAATCATACTTTTTCTAGTGAGTAGGCCTATAGATCAATGTGTAGTCCTATCTTACAGAAATTTATATGTGACTACTGTACTGTTGGGTCGGTTAGAAAACAATTGTATAACATTTAAAGAAAACGCATTGGGAAGTTTCATCACTACCTAAGTCTTGGTTTTGGACTATATCTAGCAGCATTGGTTATTATGCTGAATTGTAGGCTAATAAACATTTTATTCCAATGCAGAATTTAAATCTTAACACTTACAATCAGATCCCTAATGATGTTACCAACTAAGAGATTTCTAGCATGGGTCTAGATAATAGGCCTCCTGATAGTTGTAAATATAGTATGTAGTATAGTATTCAATAACAATATTGAGACTTATTATAACACATTAGGCCGGTTTTATGCACCGCGACAGTCGCGTGTCGCGGCGCGACTCAAGTTCTATTGAGTTAAATGGGAGCATTTATGCACCGCGACAGCGACAAACTGCCGCGTAAGCGACTCGGAGATCTCTAAATACCCGCGACAGGTTTTAGAATCGCAGCTTCAAAAAATGTTTCGCGCGCGGTTCAAGTTCTATTGGATCAAATGGGCACGTTTATGCACCGCGACAGTCGCGGCGCGACAGTAGTATTTTTCATACTCCACGTGGTATATTCTCCATATATTTATATTGATTAATGTTAATAATTAGTATATAAATGAGTTCTTTACCCTTTATTTGTAATATAAATTATATCATTTTATTATGTAATGACATTTTTAAGAGGGTTCACTTAATAAATTGTATGTGTTGTTTAAATAACTAGGGTTTTGTCATTAACGTGTACAACACTACAGGGTCTATATTTAAACAACTTAATAATCACTTCTACATCACAAACACAACACACAACATTGGATTGAGAACAGACTGATTTCTTTGATTCCCCCACCACCGGATGTGAATTTACGCGACAAAAAAGTGTCGCTGTCGCGTGACATTTTGGTCAGCCGCAAGAAGTGGCGCGACTAGCGACTCGCGACTGTCGCGGTGCATAAAACCAGCCTTACAGTATCATTGTCAATGTCAGTTTTGTTCAAATACCCTGATTGCATTTGTATCGAATAAAGAAATGAAAAAATATCATTTAGTTTGCAGGTGTGCTGCAACTGAGGTGAATGGTCATTGGAGAAATTGCATTTTATTAATGTTTATATATAATAAGCATAACTTCTTGATCAGCATAGTACGTGTTATTAAATTACCTGAAAAAATATATATATACGTCTATTGTCTAATAACCTTAGTAATAATATATTTACACTTAAACTCATACTGTTCTCAGAAGTGGGTAAATACGTATGAAAGATGGTAACTGAAGTGGTGATCGATTTCGATTTTAGTGTCCAATCAAAATTGATCACAACTTACCATTATCTCTTAGTGGGTATAATCGAAATCAATCATCACTTACCATCTTTCATATGTATTTACCGTCTTGTGAGTCAACAGTATAAGTGTAAATATATTATTACTAGTGTTATTAGATGTATATCTTTTTGTTTTTTTCATGTAAAACAAGCATAGGCCAAGGTATGGTAAATAAACAGCTTCTTAGCACGATTAGGTTAGGCCTACTAAAAGCTTATGCTATGTAGACCTACATGTTTCACTGAAGAAAGTTGTACGAGAATACTAGTAAATATCACAAATATGTGGATAACTACAAAACCCACCCTCCACCCACTTAACCTTGTAGCTCCTACCTTTTTAGTGCCTATTATTCATTTTTGTGTAAAAGGGAAACTCCTTAACACAATACAGTTACCTATTGTTACCAGGGTTGCCACCCGTCCCGATTCTGTCAGGCCAGTCCCGATTTTGCTTCCTTATGCCCGTATTTAAGCCTGTGTTAATACAGGGGGGAGGGGGGCCATGTCCTGAATTTTCCCTAAATCTAAGGTAACAACCCTGATTGTTACTGTTGTCATCGGATGTTACCGTTGTTATTGTTTATGTGTTTCGTTGTAGCATTGTTTCTCTAGTCATGTTTAGATTTAGATTTCCTGCCACTGATGTTGCTTTTGAAATGGTTTAGCTTTCAGTTATCTGAAAACATTGCATGTTGTTACCACATGGTTATTATATAACCACATTGTAAATTTGTGATCTTGCCGTTGGAATAAATAAATAGATAGATGAGATAGATAAGCCCTACAAAAACTGTTCCTAAAATTGATTGACTGAATTTTTTTTTTCAAATGTTTGTTTATGGCTGGATATAATTATTGTGTTATACATGGTGGTAGTATAGGTCATTCTAGAAATGAAAACCATTATAGCCTAGCTGTGGTTGTATAGGTAATTCTAGAAAATCATTATAGCCTAGCTGTGGTTATATAGGTAATTCTAGAAAACCAACATAGCCTATAGGCGTAGCAGAAAATAGTTTGGTTGAGTTTTAAAATAAAGATCACTAAACCAGATCACAGCAGAAGAGAGCTTGCCAGCTGACAAAATTTCCTATTTTCCACCAAATTAAACCAAAACTCCTGTTATGCATAGTAGCCAATCAAAACCCTTTACATTCCTTAGTCACTCAACATTCACAACTCATTTTATGCTTGATGGTCGTACAAACAAATATGATCAAAAAAAAGGAAAAGACAACTCTAAGAGGGTGAAATTTTTTAAAAGAGAGAGTTTTTTCAAGGCCCCACTAGAAAACAGGCCATGCTGCAGCGAGGACAGCGCAACACTATGTCACAGTGGTGGATAGTTGTACTAAAATCTTACCGTTAAAATCTGACAAACAGCCATCTTATTCACCTAAAACATATGGGATATTGCAGTGAATCTATCAAGAAATCAATCCACTAGTGTGACGTCATGAATCCTGCAGCATGGCCTGTTTTTCTAGTGGGGCCTTGGTTTAGTTTCAACGTATACAATATGTTTTTATTTTACATTTGAACAAGATTTATATAGAGTAAAAAGATGTATGCCAATGCATAATCAGATGTAGGTAGATACATGTCTGCATGTATTTAAGATATTTCATTAGGCCCTAACTATTCGGTCCAATATCCGTTAACTGCTCGGTGCTTGGCAAATGGCGCATGTCTGGAGCCGACTTCAGTGATTTACTCCAAACCGTTTTGGTGCTATGAGAATTTATAATTTTGCTTTAGTTACTTACATGAATATTCATTTGCAAATACCGTACCACAAGGAGTCTAGGCCTATATTACTACCTACGAACTGAATCAGACTCAAGACAAATTATCTTATAATCGATAGATAACTACAATCATTTTAACTGAGAATCTAAACACAATTGCCGATCACTTACTTGTTACATTCATCATCAAAGATGGCTCTGATTGGAAGACTTTCTTTTTGAACCCTCGACAAAATTTTATTCCGAAGATCCCACACAGCTTCCAGCAATGGTTCTGGTCCATGGTTGTGGTACGGGAAGTTTATGTTTAACATTATACATGTCTGTCCTGAATCCATCCATACTTGTGCACAACAATCTGGCCTGTAGCATGTATAGTCTGTCTTGGAAACACCCACTTTTGTGTATCTGTAGTAAAACCCATCACCACAAGTAAACAATGTGGCTCCTCTTCTAATACCAGGTATTGCACGCCAATCCATTGTGATTCTAGTCTGTTATAGGTTTGGCGTAAGGCCTATTCTTTTTTGCTTGTAACACTAAATAGTTTTTTTGTACACAATCCCACCAAAATGTGTAAGGTTACAAAATCCAAGCCTAATACACACAGAATTGTAACAGAAATGAAACAGAATGAACACAAAAATCAACAAATCATAAGACGTGTATCAAATCATGTCAATAGGCCTCAGTCTCTGGATAAAACATTTCTTGACTTTATGGTATTTAAATAGCCTTTTACAGTTTTTTTCCAAGGCAGAGCCATCACAAAATCAACTGATGATCTATTCTTGTAAGACTCTTCTTTAAAGACTGACATTTTACATTACAACATTTTTACATCCCCTGCACAAATCTAAGCAAAAAAACATTTTGGAAAAAATGTTTAAATCTGTATGAGATGTTCACTGCTCAGGTCACAATGCTAACCGCATGTGTAGTTTCACGCAGATTGAAGTAGCTAG